CGAGAGAACCGCGAAGCTCGGTGAAATAGGGGTAAGTCCGGTCGGACGGGCTTCGCGGTCGCAAACTTTCCTCGTCGGTTCTCGCGTTACGTAAGTAAGAGGGTAAGAGCGTATGAGCGGATCAGGCCGGGAAGCTCGTAGATCCGCGAGCCAGCGGCCGCGTCTCGGCTCGTCGAAGCTACCCCATTCCCGGAGCTTCCTCTCGCGAGTGGAGAATCAACCCCGGAAGTGTGTTAATCCGCCGAACGTTCGCTCCCGACGACGAAGCGCCGAATCCGAACTCCGCCTCCGTATTATCGCCGGCTCGAGAGGAGCCTCGGGGAGGCGAGAACACCGTGGAGGACCGTTCGAGACCGTCGAGGACCGTCGAACACCGTCGAAGAGCATCGAAGAGCATCGAAGAGCGTCGCGACGCCGATCTTCTCCGGTTCGAGAACGCTTTCACCTTCGAACGCCGGCCGACTCGTTGTTTTACTCCTCGCGTTATAGATCCGCTCGAGATACGCCGGGGTTCGAGTCTCTTTTTCTTTCCTATACTCGACGAAACAAATGACGCCCAGTGTCGATTAACTCATTTACACTGCGACGCTAATTAAGTTTCTGTGTACGGACAGCGGCGTGACCGACGGTTGCACCGTTATTACCGCGCGCGCAATCGTGTATCAGCAGTTTGCAATTGTCTTATGCGGAATATTACGCGGCCGGCGATGAAAGGAAGCCGTGGCTCGCGGAATATTCCGCGGCCGGTGATAACAGACGATCGTGATCCACGGAACATTCCGTTTACGGATGCAAATCAGTTGAATTCCGTTCCTCTTTCCGTTACGCGCGCTCCGGGAAACGACTCTCGCGAGATAACGAGAGACGATTTCCGATTCCGGATACGACGTATAGGAAAGACGGGGAATTCCCGTGGTAGAGGATCAAAGGGATCCAAAGGGGGAAGATGGAAGAAGAAAGAAGAAAGGGATAAGAGTTCTCCTCTCTGCGAGCGTCGAGCTCGCGAACAAGAATCGTTCCATGATACGCGCGAATCATTCAGTTCGAGTCGTACTTTGCAGATATAAGCCCCGGGATGAAGAAGAACCGTTCGCGATCGGCTTCGTTTGTAATTAAACACGAGTTAAGCGTAAGTGAACGTATATCTGTAAAATTTATTCCTACTACGGTGAATCGTGAACGCTTTAGCCAATGTTCGGAGCGTGTGTTAACCGATTTACGCGCATTATTATTGTTAACGATATAATTGTATTTACTTTTATAAAATAATGTCGGATATTGTAATTAAAATTCTATACCGAAATTACTCTGTATCCAATGAGAGACGAATAAATAAAATGATCAAAATAAAACTCGACTGTTTAGAAAGACAGTTTCCTCGATGATGCTTAGTCGGATTAGAATTACGCTCGTATTGCGATCGCATTCATACAAGATAGAGAATAACGATAGAATCACCGGTTTAGTGATCCCGTATATTAGTAATCACCGATCCCCGATTTCTTTTGTAATCTTTCTTTTGAACGGCACAGATGATTGTTTCAGAAATTATTGCGGAAACTGACCTAGTAATACCTGAATTCGTATACAAGCCAATTGAAATCTTATTAACTATATACTTACTCTCTATTTATGTACCCTCATTATCTATATTCCTTTATTTACACTAAAATTAATTTGAAAAATACGCAAGTGAATACTTTATACCCTAATATCCCAAAAAACCTCAAAAGCATATGTAGGAATTACATTATTGCATAATCCCATCATACTGATTGCGAAAGGATTACAGTTAACCCTTTGCACTCGAGAATATTTTTCTCAATAAATATTCATGACTTTCTGACGAAATGTCAATGATATATTTTGCAATTAACATAAAGAATGTTATGTAAAATTTAATATTGAATTTTCAATTTTACAATGTCAAATGGCGACTGGAAGGCGTTGACACGTGCAGTGTATTGCAGACAAGTGCATTGCAATGCATACAGCTTCATGTATGCGTTATGCTGGTTGCGGCCAGTCAGGGGCTAGTAGTCGATTTCGGTCGAGGGCGACAGTTTCGCCATCTAGCGGCGGGGCGTTTTCGAAGCTTTTCCCTATACCCGGAATGTGTAAAACAAGGACAGCGATAGTGTGCGACAAGGACAGATATAGCATCCCCGTGCCACCTACTTGAGAAAAGCAGCTCATCAGTCCCTGGTACCTACTCGTGAAGCATGACAACCAAGGAGGTATCCGACAAGGATAGTTATACGATTTGGCGGGAGAGAGACAAGGACGCACGATGGCGTCCGCACAGAACTGCGCAATCGATGCAGAATTCATTAATTACTCGACTACCGCGGATTATTCGTTAACATTTGCAACTGGAGATCGTAGAATCGACATTCCTGTATTTTCTCCTATAACTTTTGATAGAATTTTGCGTTGCGTTAATTGGTTATTAGTGATTTCTCGAGACGACGTCCCGAGGTAGTCCAGAGTTGGTTGAAAGGTGCCAAGAGAATAATTGGTTTGTACAATTACTGGACGTAATCAGTGAACTTTTATAATCGAGGAAATTAGAGTGGACCTCTAGCAATTTTCCAGTGTTAGCTTCGGTCACGTTTGAGTAGTAATTAATGAGTTACCAACGATTCTCGGATGGGTAGGAAATGCGATGAGTGAGATAAGGAAAGATAGATGGGTGCGTGAAGGGCAGAGATAGATGATCGGTGGCGCTGCCTATTGAGAAAACTATCAAACTTCTAGCCAAAATAGTGTCAGCTTGTTTCCGGTAGATGGCGTCGCAAAGCAATTATCATTAGAAAATTGCTGGAGGTCCACTCTAATATCTTCGGTCGTAAAAGTTCACCTATTACGTCTATTAACGATATAAATTAATTGTTTCCTAGACACTTGTCAACAAATTCTAAATTAACTCCGGACGTCGGCTCGAAAAATAATTAATAACTAATTGACGCGAAGCAAAATCCTATCGAATGTCATAGGGAAAAGTAGAGGAAGGTCTATTCTACGATCTGCAATTGCAAATGTTAACCATGCGTTCATGGCAGTCAAGTAATTAATGAATACTGCATCGATCGCGTGATTAACTGCGAACGCCATCGTGCGTCCTTGTCTCTCTCCCGCTAAATTGTGTATTTATCCTTGTCAGATACCTCCTTTGTGGTCATGCTTCACGAGTAGGTACCAGGGATTGATGAGATGCTTTTCCCGAGTAGGTGGCACGGGGATCGCTATCTCTGTCCTTGTCGCACACTAGCTCCGTCCTTGTCTTACACATCGCGGGTATAGGGAAAAGCTTCGAAAACACCCCGTCGCTAGATGACGCCTCTATCGGTCGTGACCAAAGTCTGTAGGTAGTTTAGTTAAGGCTAATACTAAAACTCTTACTGGTAGGTTAGAATAATATAGACACAAGGTGAAATAAGTACAAATGTGGTACAATTCGAAAACTGCAATCCGCCGTAGACTTTTAGTTTTGATGTATTATACCCATGTAATTTAAGCTTTTACAAACCGTGTATAGCATGTAATTAGTTAACCAGTTAACCCTTTGCACTCGAGAGGCGACTCACAGTCGCCATTTGGTTTGATACAGCAAAATTACAAAGCTTGATGTTCGATATTAAAGTTCATTTAATTATCCACGAAACGTTAAAATAGAATAGTTCTATCCCTTAATTTGTATATTATTTATATCAATATTAATTATAAAACTTATCATTGATATTTCATTAGGAAATGAGGAATATATCTAGCTAAACAATTTTCGTAAAACCTATATACGGGTATACAAGGTGTTCACACTATTACTAGCCATTCAAAATGTTTCTTCCATTCCTGACTTTTCATGACCTCGAAGGTCACTGTGCAGTACACGGATGAATTCTTCTCGACGCACGCTTTTGTGTGATATAAAAGAATATACAGCGTTCCATTTAAAAAAATGGTCACCTTCATATCTTGCAAACTAGTATAAACACAAAAAGATTACATACGCCATTGTGTTGCGTATAAAAAACAGCACTACTTTTTCCTCTTTCATTTTTTTCGAATGTTTACTATTTACAAGGGAAACGCTGGCTAGTAAATAATGTGAACACCCTGTAGAAGTCAGCATTGGTGTCTGGATACTGAGATTCACCTCTTGTACACCCGTATACTCCTAATGCAATGGAATAAATCCGCGGACAATGCTGGGACTCCGACCTCTATTTTCATCATGATTTTCTGATTGTTCCGCTTTGTTCTAAACCCGATCGCATGAACTCCGCTGCAACAGGGTATCGTTTCACCGCCTGCCGCGACATGGTGCTCTATCATACGATCGTCTTTTCTCGTGAACTTCCGTCGTTTTAAACCAGCCACCGTCCACCGTCTAGGGCCGCGTGTATTCCTGATCAAAAAACACGAATTTCGACCCTTTTCGCCGCAGGTTCGAAGGAAGAATTTTCGTTCGAAACGTTTCTCCTTTATCAGAGCTGTCGCTTCTAACCCTTTCGCGGATATTAACAGAAGAAAAACAGCGGGACGCCGTCTGCTTCTTTGCCAGTATAGTCGCCTAATCTGAAATCATGAGTTTCGACCCTTTTAATCGTCCTCTTGAGGACACACGACACTTCCGGTTCGCTTCATGATAGAACGAAATGTTTCGTCCTTTCCCTGTAATTGGTGAAGATTTTAAACTCTTAACACTGGAACTACCAGAGAGGTCAAAACGACACATTCCTGATTGTTTTAATAATTATTCAAAACGTAACAGATAATTCTCTGAGCAATTATTAGAGAAATTGATTCAGCAATGGGCAAACTGAATTGTAAATCAATAGAAATCTTAATAACACTGTTGGAGTTTCCATGGAAATATTTCAAAGTCAGTTTGACTGTTTGGTAGTTCTAGTGTTTAAACTATAATTTATATGTAGAAAATGGATAGATGGTTTTTGAGAGAAAATAATGCTTATATAAAAATAAATCGTAACGTTATTTATTGATTACAAATGGTCATGTATGTAGTATAAGATGCATGATACTGCCAGTAGCACTTAAGTTATACAGCGATTTCGATGTGGTACAATATTAAATTTTCTCTGGAACTCGTGTTAATATATGGTTACGGTATTAAAAAATATTTATTAATATGTACAGTGGTTACTGGTTAATTCTATCTTTCAGAGAAAAATAAAGTATCTGAGTTCACGCGCGTTTCGCATAGATTACATACAAAATCGGTGTATACGGACAGCATAAAAATGATATGCGCTGGAGCCGCTTTCCATCGCGATGTCTTGATTGCTGAGATGCTGAATAAAAACTCTGTCTTCGTTTCCGTTACTCAGTGTACTGGGTCATATTTACAACGGTTGAGTTAAGAGTTATTTTACAGTGTTACGTATAAATGTTTGAGCGGCAGTCAACCACCATTGAATGGCAAATGAAAAAATGGCAAATTATCTTCTATTAAAAATGTGGCTGTGTTCATAAAAGTCCTTCACGGTCGAGAGATTATTGTTAAAAATCGAGGTTCGAGGTTTGTGTATACTTAATGATGCGCGGTTGTCTTTTTTTGAGCACGTGGCGTCCCGTTGTGCGCAACGTTCTGGAAGTGTCGCAGCCGTGAAATAATTTAACCGGATGCGAGTCGATTCTTTATGGTCGCGAACGGTTAATTAATTAACGGCAAATGAAGTCTTCGCTGTACGCTTTCTTTATGGTTTTGATTATCGTCTAACCGTATGAACCAACAGCATATTAATGCTGAGAATTCGTGAGAGGAGTGGTGTCTGTCCTTTCACTCTCCTCGATTAAACCCGCATTCTCTTCAGATGCCTTCTTTATATCGTCGCATAGTTCTTCTGATAGCTGCTGAATGGTTGGCAAGTGTTGCACAGTTTCCAAATGTTGACCTGTGCCAATTATCAGTAATTTATTAAGCATACTTTTAGTAAACGTTTATACAGTCACAGGCGAAATATAGGATAGACTTAATTATAATGTATTAGAACTACATACTCTTCAGAGTACGCAATTCTGAGTCTTTTCTGTATCTCGTCTGTGATACTATCACTGAATATAGATTAAACATACTGTGAGCAGCAAGTATAGTTGCCAGACAATGCGCCACAGCACGATTTGGGGCACAGGCTAGTGCAGGAGTAAGACCCTCAGCATCCACCGCTACGACACTTGCTCCTAGTTGCAATAAACGTTTTGTTACCTATAAAAGCAGATGTAATAACTTTCTAAAAATGTTTTACAATATACATGTAAAAAATAATATATACATACATATACAATATATAAATATATATATATATTTTTATATATTTTATATGTACGTTGTAAAACATTTTTAGAAAGTTATTTCATATTAAAAGAATTCCCTCAATTACTTTCACAAATCCATTTCTAGCTGCTAAATGCAACGGTGTCCTCTGTTGCTTGTTGGCCATATTAATAACCGCTATTCGTTTCTGTTCCCCTTGCGATTCATTTTCCTCGTTGGAATGAATCGAATCTATCCAATTTAATAAAATCGAAGCAGCACATTGACACCTTTGACAAGCTAAATGCAGCGCCGTATTTTTATTACTATCGACCGCACTTACATCAGCCTTCCGTTCCAATAATAATTCTGACAGTAAAACATGATTTTCAATATCAATACGAGTAAGGCAAAATATAGTTTAATCTTGTTAATCGATTGAGACTTACGAATGACTTTGTATTGACCAGTAATGGCAGCACAAAGAAGTGGTGTTCGCCCTAGAGAATCTGTAGCCTCTAATCCAGCTAATTCTGGGCCAACAGAATTCAAAATTAATCTGGCACATTCTAATGTTCCTGAACTGGCTGCTACATGTAAAGGCAGGCGATCACCCGGACTATCTCTGAGCGCGGCAATAGTTTTCCCTCCAAATTTATGAATTAACAACTTCAAACAATCGACTGATCCCTGATACACAGCGCAATGGGCAGCAGAAAATGAACCGCCTATAAAAAAAAAGAAAAATAAAAAAGAAGAGCTTAGCTTCCGATTAAGAAGTGTGTATTCTTCATCAAAAAATGACGAATACCTTCTAATAATATATCTAAAGAAGTGATAAATCTTTGTCTTAGCATAAATGTGACGCAATTGGAATTTCCAGTGTAACACGCCCAATGAAGAGCTGTGCAACCTTGATCATCTGTCACGACGAGTGCATTAGGTTCTGCACGAACCAGTGCAGCTAGTGCTTCCACTCTGTGGAAAGACGAAGCTTAAAACAATTGGAGGATAGAGTATACACTAATGACTTTTATTTAACCCACTTTCCGTAAGCGCCGGCTAAATGCAGTGGCGTTTTACCGTATGTATCTTTTATTAAAACCTTCGCGCCATGAGAGAGTAACAACTTGACTAGCTGGTGAACGTTTTCGGTAAGCACTGCTCGAAACAATGGCGTGTGTTTATTTATGTCTGGCAAATTACAATCAGCTTTATATTTCAAAAGTGAAATGACACACTCTGTATTACTGTTCGCCACTGCCAACGTTAAAGCAGTACGCTGCTTTGCGTCGTAGCAATTGACTACGCTTGGGTCCTTTGTGTTTTCGAGAAGCAAAATCAGACAAGCATGGTGCCCTGCCGCGGCTGCATAGTGTATCGGAGTACGTTTTCCAATAGAGTCCTACAAATACCAATAAACAGTAACGGTATACAATGACAACCGAGTTAAGAAAGATTTACTGAACTCATACTTGGACAGATACAAAAGCTCCGTGATTTAACAATAGTTCAACGCATTTTTGATGACCTTTACAAGAAGCTAAATGTAAAGGGGTATTACCAGTGTCTTCCTTAATATTAGTATTCGGAAATAATGGTAACAATAGACTCAATATTTGACTATGCCCATAATACGCCTATAAGTTGACAAACAATCCATAAGTAGTTGAATCCTAATTGATAGAGCACACTGAAATACTGATAATAATCATACGGCAAGGTGTAATGGTGTTAATGCTGGTTCTTGTTCTTCCGTGCAATTAGACGCCTCCAATTGCGGACATGCTTCCAAAAGTGCTTCTAAAGCTGGTTGATTTCCTCCAGCCACAGCATAGTGAATTGCGGTAAAACCACGTTTGTCGCGTAAGTGTGGATCTGCTCTATGTCTTAGCAAATACTGGACGCACCTACAGATATAACAGATATTGAGTAGTTAAGTTACTTTAGTATATTACAGTTAACCCCTTGCCCTACAACATCGTGTCAGACTCGCGGTGAACATTTCAAATAGAATTTAACAAATATACATATCACTTATCTCTTCCAAGTCCAAATTGAACATTATTTTTTTATTATTAATTGTAACGCTTCTGAGTAAACGTACACATAGAATAAGTGTAATAAAATATTTCTGTTGTGCACAAATGGGAAAGAAATCATAGGACAAGAGGTTAATCATAAAAAAATACTCACTGAGCACCAGTGTCTGTTGATTTCGACGCTGCCGCTAAATGCAAAGGGGTGGCACCGTCGATGTCTTGCGCATTAGAATCACTTCCAAAACCAACCAAAGTGAAAACACAAAAATAATGTCCCTGACTAGCAGCATAATGAAGCGCCAACCTAATATCGTTATCGGTTAACCGAAAATTAGCTCCGTTAGACAATAATAAATCTAAACAATCGACGGATCCTTTAAATGCTGCTAAATGCAATGGTGTTTTACCACCAACATCTTTGGTATCTATACGTTGGCTGTCGGCTTGTAACAATTTCCTACACACCTGTAATTTATTACGTAAACCTGATTCATATATTTTGTGACAAAGGAATTAATTATATAAATATTATATTTTACCTCAATATGTCCTGTTAGACAACTCAGGTGCAGCGGTGTACGTAGTTCAGCATTGCGCACTGCTGGAGATGCACCGTATTCTAGCAAAGTTGTCGTTAAACATTCGTGACCAAACCTGATAGAATAACAAATTTTTTAAGCGAAAATTGAAAGGAAAAAATGAATGATAAATGAAATCAGTATTTCCTGCTGGTATTTACCAAGCAGCTATATGCAAGGCAGTATTTTTCATTTTATCCTTTTTATCTGCTACGGCTCCAGCATCAAGTAAACTTTTTGATCTTGTGAATCTCCCATGAATTGCGGTTACATGTAAAGGCGTGTGCCCATCTTTTGACCGGACGTTGATCTTTGCACCGGCTTGTAAAAGTACTTCTAAACAGTGAACACTATAGGGACTGGCAGCGGCAACGTGTAAAGGAGTTTGCCGTCGGTTATTCACAGTCTCTGTTTAAATAATCTCCGATTATATATTTAGTGGGATGGTACAGAATCCTGTGAATTAATAAATCATCTCACCAATGTTTGCTCCGTAAGAAATTAATACTTTCACTGCATCAGCATGGCCATTTAAACACGCAATATGAAGTGGTGTATTTGCGTTCCGGTTTGCAGCTTCGATATCGGCCCCATTTTCTATCAATATTTGCATACACCCTACACTACCAGAAGCTGCGGCCGCGTGTAACGGAGTATATAAATCTCGGTCCTTAACATACAAATGTATATATGAAAAGACATTTCACAAGATTGTTGTTGTGCTGTTTATGCTAGAGTTGATAAACACTCTTCTATTTATTCAGTCTTACTTCGACATTGACATCTGCTTTCCCTTCTATAAGTGCCTTCACAATACTATCATGCCCTCTAAATGCTGCAAAATGTAAAGCACTACGGTTCCCCATTACATCGACTCCACAGCCAATTCGAATCAAATACTTTGTCATTTCAAGATGTCCATTGTAAGCTGCATAATGCAAGCTTGTTCTACCACTTCTGAAAACATTTAAGATTCAAGAAAAGATATAGAAAATACATAAAAAGAATATTGGTAAAAAATACAGATACAAACTTGTCTGTCGTATTAACATCTATGTATGGAACTAGCAATTCTGCGCATTTCACAGCATTATTTGCTGCTGCTACGTGTAAAAGAGTTTGCCTACTCTGATTCCTAAAAGTGGCATCAGCTTTGTACTGTAATAAAAGGTCTACTACATCATGATGTCCTGAGCAACAGGCCCTATGCAATGGAGTCAACCATTCTTTATCCTTTGCATTCGCATTAGCTCCATACAACAGAAGCATTTGTACAATTGCAGAATTCCCCATATATGCAGCTGCATGCAAAAGAGTCCGTTGTTCTGAGTCCTCCCAAGTGGCATCAGCACCATTAAATAGTAAATCTACAAGTATGTCTGCAGCTCCGGAAAATATAGCTCGCAGTAACGGAGGCTGTAAAAAATTACATCCATGAATAAAAATTCCAACAGTTAACGTTGAAAATAAAATATTCTGCAAAATTTCATAAAAACACTCTCAAGTGCTGTTACACATAAAGCTACAATTAATTAGCAGTAATTGGAATGTTTTTAATTTCTTTTCACATGGCAATTGATACGAAAACGTTAAAAACAATAGGTATTATATACTACAAAAGAAAAAACACAAAAAAAGAACCGAAGGATTGACACATGAGTCTAACCTCCGGCTTTTTTACAGGTTTGATTAACATGCTCAAGTATTATTCAACGAAACGTGTTTCCTGAGAAAGATGAAACAACTTACCCCATTATTTAAATTTTGCACGTTCATGATTGACCAACTTCTCAATTTATACAAATACGGAAGTATTTATAAAAAACACAGTTACAGGACCGTAAAAAACTAACATGGTAGTGTGTGAGTCATACTCCAACACGTACGGTCGGGTATGTTACTTTCATTTCTTTCTGCCGACAATTCTGTTCGAAGCATACGATCACTGTCAATTATTGTCTCGGATAAAGAACATCATCGTTTAAGTAAAAACAACTACGATCTGTTTTTTGAAAGAAGAGTCCTGTGATGCGCCGAGAGTCACAGTAGCTGTCCACCCCACTCCGAGCATTCAAATGTCAGCAGCCTAAAGTGATTGTGGTGGGATGGACAGCTAATGTGATCACCGATTGCATCCCAGGACTTTTCTTTCGCAAAACAAACCATATCGAAATACGCATAATGATCCTACCCTCCGATCTAACCAGTAACAGCTACCTTCTTATGGTGCACTCCATCTTTGTTTCTGTCAAGTTCTCGAGGCTTGTAAACAGATGAATATAACATACATCATGTACCGCTATCGCGCGAAAATTAAAAGCACTCCTTTACTTTCCTATAATATCCTTAAAAACCTCGATTTTATACAACAAATAATTAAATTTCATCACGAACGTTCGTCGAAACTTTCAAATTGAGACTGAGTTCACCGAGGATGAGTTCCCTATGCTGAACTCAATGTTTCCCGAGAAAATATAATCACGTGAAGTGATAAATTTTATCTTTCATCTGTTTCCTGTTATGTTTGAAAAGTAAATAAAAAAACGTCCTATGTCAATTCTGAGTCAACAGTATTATAGTTCATTAACATTACTCCAGGAATGGATGATAGGGTGACTGCTTGGTCTCAATGTGTGAGAAAAAAAGGAACTGTCAAAAATGATTCGAAAAACGTCATCCTAAATGTATCACCGTCAAGTTTAAGCTTCGATTTTAGTTTCGACAACCTGAAACCTCAGGAAAAGATAATTAAAGTCACAAATTATTTCTCGAAGCCATGTCCAATTCAACCGTTGTCAATGGAAACTCGTTACTTCCGGTTTGGAATTACCACTCAGGTGAAAGAACAGATTCCGTCATTGAAATTGCTATTGTACAAAATATTGATGCGTGCGAGTTTATTGCAGACAACGTGGTTGACTCCTGGATCAGTTTACAATATAAATATACGGTTCATACCTGACGAACCGAGGAATTATAATGATGTTTTGAGGATTCGTTACTTTGACAATCAGACTTTGCGAATTAAAGTTACCGGAAATGTTACAGCTCATTTCCCTTTCCCGCGAAAAGTCAATTTTGGAAGTGTTCCGCTTGGTCGTGTGTAAGTTTATTGTACAATTACTGTAACATTCGTATAGCGAGCGTAATTATTGATTATTTAAGGGCTTGCTATAAAATACCGATATGTTCTTACGCAAAGAAAGAATTTTCATTCGCAATTTTACCATCCAAAGAAGATCCATGTATCGACATCTATCCGCGATGGGGTAAATTAACATTTTTTTTTGTTCTTTCAACTTGATCGATAATTAAGTCTTCCTTTATATAATAATCTAATTTAATTTGAATTATTTGTTCTTAGGACATGTCAGACCCAATCAAAAGCCTGCAATAGTAATGGTTATTTATAGACCTTTACGTTATATAAGTATAGATTTTCAAATTCGAATATTCATTACGAATTTATGCAAAACCCCGAACATTATACATTTCTATGCTTATACTCGACCAGGACTTTTACGGTGAGGATAATCTCGGTTATTAATTTTTCTTTGAAAAGATAATTCATCAATAACAATGTAATATAAGCGTAAATGAATGTATATAAGGGAATCACTGGAAAACGTTGAACCGGAAGCAGGCATTAAGGGACAACCGACCAAAATTAGTACTGTACCTCGAAAGAAAGCAAAATCCATTACTCAGGAAATAATTATTCCAAGACCTTGTGCCAAAAAATCAATTGTGGAATGGAAGAATCATGAGAAAACTTTACTGAAAGAATGTGGTTATTTTCCTCTGTACGCGCTTCATACAATCAATTGCACGTTGATTTCAAAAATTCAAATATTATGCAGTGAACATGAATTGAGAGGTTACAGATTTTGCATATAAATTTTGCATACGCGTAAGGTTACATTTAATTTTAATTACTTAGGAGCCTTGAATACATATCTGTCAGAAGTTGTACAGCGAAGAGCTCGAAAGTTGAAAGAATTTTTGGTGAGAGTAGACAATTGTCGACGGGAGAAGGAAAGAGCGAGAGTTTGTTACAATATGAAAGTAAATAATGCAACACACGATATTAATGAGAGTCGTGTAACTAGAATAAAGATACAGAGGAGAAAAGAATGGAATGATTATAAATATTCTTTGGAAACCGGTACTTTGGAGGAGGACTTATTTGAACGACAAATAGCTAAAAAAATAAAACAGAGAATTTTAAGAATTCCTCAAAAGGTTCTTATATGTTTAAACTATACAATACTGTCCATAGTTTTTCCAAAAGTAATTTCTTTATGGGTTTATTTTTAGTATCCAAATAAAATTTCAACATCGCCTGAAGTGGAGCAACCGTTTCTACACTACTGCAAAATTGAACCGTTCCTTCAGGCAGTTAGGAAAGTAATTTTAAAAAATCGATTATTAAAAGTGCTGAAAACACTTAAGACTGGCATCGAAATGAGTTAATAAATTTAAAAATCCATTTATCGATTGTTGATAATGACTGATTAAAATAATAAAGCCTGAGATCTTGTTAATTTAATATTTAACTATATTTTTAAGGTACAATGATAAGTTTTAGTATTTAAGAGTTAAGATAATTAAGTAATATAAGTATTATAATTTCAGTCACAATTTTTTAATGTAAAATTTATTTATATTGTTGTATTTACTTTCTAGATGGCACTTGCATCAGAACCGCCAAAACCGTAGGAAAAGCGTCTGCTTTCTCCGCTGACATACCCTAAATGCTTTAACAAAGAAAGCGAGTATTTAATTCTATATAAAATTGAATGCAACGTGAAACAGTTTATACCATTTATTAATATTTATTTTTCAGATATTGAAAATGCGTGTTACAATTTTTTATTAAAAGACTACTATTTATTAAATGATTTATACTTTGTTCCTGATAGTGTTGTACAGATGGATATGTGTTTAACTTTTAATTGCGATGGTAAAGTGAACAGTAATGATTGGCAATTAAATAAAGAAAGTTTATTCTTGCGTGGAGAAGTGGAAAATGTTCTTTATCCGCAAGATGAAAATTCATTATTGGATGTGGACATGCAATTATTTGATTCCAATGTGCCTGCATCAACAGGCATTTTTGATTTAAAACATTACATCAAATGCATGGCGTAAGAATCATTTCATCCATTAATATCAAAACTGCTTTATGTTATGTTCTTGATTATTTAATTTTCTTCGTAGCATGCAATTAAAAATACTTAGCGGGCATGAGACTTATAATCAGGTCCTAAGTTCTAATACAAATGACATTGATTTTTATCATATAAGACGCATTGTATGCGAATTTTTATTATATGTTCGAACATATTTAAATAGGTAAGAGAATTTTTAATATTAAACGTATCTATATTTTGTATATACCTATTTCTACCATAACCAGTCGAATAACTGGTGTTAATATTCTTTGAGAAATGTATGTTTTATAATATGAATTTTTCAGTATTAAATGGGACCTTCAATCTTTACAAACTATAAATGAGGATATCGAAGAAGAATTTAATATGTTATTTATTACGATAAAACGTTTCCTTAATAGGCTAAGAAATATTCCAGATGCCACATTTCATTATGCACCTTCTAAACAAGGCAACCAGGTCTATATTTTGTAAGCTATTGTTAATTCTGAAGTAATTCCACCAACACTTCTAATATATTTCATATATATTACAGTGTAGACAACCGGAATATCATATGTATCATATGCACATAGAATTACGATGGTTTCTTATTTCATTGGAATACACACGTAGTCTGTATTATCAGTATTCTACAGACAGTCATCTAGAAGAACTTGAAAATATTCAGGCAATAATTATCAATGATCTTATTTACATATCATTGAAGATATTTGAAACGGTAAGACTATATGTTAAAAAGGTATATATCTAATATAAATATGTTTACTATACATTTCTTTTAAAATATTCCAGTTGCCTTTAATGAATGTACAGCAAAAAACTCCATATAATTGTTCCTGTATTCGTGAATTGTGGCTTATGCTTCAAATATTCATTGATAATTTAGCTGACAGAATGAAATCAAAGGTATTATTTTTAAAATCTAATATTGATACTCTTTTTATGTAACTTCTATGAAATATTTATTTTATAGAAATTCTGGGACTATGTAAATGACAGTGTTAATGCATTATTAAATAGGAGTGCATCCAATATCAAACAGGAATCTTCATGCTATACCTTAGCACCATGTAAAAACTCTGAATTATTTTGTTTGTGGATTATTTATAATCTGTCACTTTTATACGGATATAATGTCGATGGCATATACTTAGGGTCCAAATGTTCAAGGGTATTTGTATTTCATCTCTTTTTCTTTATGTCACCTACATGTAAAAAATGTCAACTGCTTATTTGTGGTTTTAAAGATTAGGTCTAATTATGAGCAGCTGGAGAAGATTTTGAAAACTTATATTTCCAAAGGTGGAAAGGATGGAGAACGAGATGAAATTGATGAAGAATTACGTATTATGATTCCTTTATTAAATACCATAGTCACTGAATGGTGGCAGACACGAGTTTCAGTAATTTCTCTTCTTTGGGATTGCTTCCATAAAAGATTAGACGAGCCATTTTTATTACAAACATCGGGTCCTTGGATTTTGTCCGTTGAAAAGTATGAAAATAATTGATGTAACTATATATCTTTTTTTATAATTTGTAACAAAATAATATTTAACAGGAAAACTGCTGCAGACATACTGAGACAAATCAGGGATAGAATAAATAATACGGACTGTGTCAAAGAATCTAGTTACGGAATGTTTTTACGTTTCCTCGGTAAATATACTGTTTCGCTATAAAAACAAACTCCATTAACGAAAATGTTAATTCTGAAAACATATTGCAGGATCTTTCTTGCAAATAAATTATAGCAATAATGATGCAAAGCATTGGAATCAAATTAAAGGTCGAATTTACTCAAAGTTTTCCAAAAGCAAAGTACAAGAATTTTCCATAACAGGTTTCTATAACTTCATTTCTCTGTTTTTAACGTTAGCAATTACCGCAGACACTACCAATGTAGTAAGTTATATATACATGTTAGAATCTTTAAAATATTTCTTCTTAATGTAATTCACCTATTATAAGCTCCATTTTTTTACAGTGCTCTGTAATGCTAGATCTCCTACCACCGACAAAGGAATACAATAATGAGAATAGTAAAAAATGTAGCTTGATTTGGAAGGGAAAATTGGCTATTCTTCTGTTATACAGTGAACTGAGGCTCAATTTTATAAACATAGCGTCCTGTTATATAGACACGGTAAAACGCTGAATCTCTACGTAATAAATTTTGCATCTGATGTGATTCACTCTATTTTCAGGTGAATACAATAAGTTGTCGCAGGGATGACACTTCTCGGACGATGATGGTGAACTTTGTGGATGTATTTAGTACAATTTTAGCATCTAGTAATATAGAATTAGAAGAACATTTATTACTTGGCGGTTGGATAGATCGGTATTTTACAGAATGTTCAAGTAAAATGATAGGAACGTTAACAAGGGTACTCGTTAGTATTTTTAAAAAATGTGAAAGCTCGTCTAATTCAGGTTTGTTGATTTTTAGTCGTCAAATGAATCTGGTTTTAATCCTACTTTACTGTTCCAATTAATATGCTTGTTACGTTTAGATGGAGTGGGAAAAATGTTAGATGCTTTATGGTGTTTCGTTGCATGTAGAGTACGTCAGCTTGTATTCGATCCTGGACTTACAGGCGATCATTACCGGGATGTCTCACAACTTGCTGTCTTATTTACTTTGGATGGATTAAAAAATCCAACGACAGCAAAGAAGTACAAACATTCAGCCATGTCTTTATTTCAGCATTTTGCGTCTTCCGTGATTGTTAAAGACATTAGGTTTGTTCACAGTATATATTACTGTTTAATTTTACAACTATGACATGCCTCAACAAAAAATTTAATTCTAGAATTACAAGACATTATTTAGTACTGATGCTCGAAGAAAAACAAGCAGTTGAAACTCTGAAGAAAGAAATTAAAAATTTTGACACAATACTCATACAGGTAAGTAAAAGATGAAGATGTAAGAGATATACAATATAAACATACAATATAATGTTAACATTTTGAATGAATTTCAGGCATGGATAAAGTGTTCTATTATTGGTCATGAGACAAACGGCGATGAAATCAAAGTTATACAAAATTATATATTATCAATAAATGAAATACAACAGATGTTTGTAACATATCACGATATCAACGAATTTCAAGATACTAATGAATCTATTTTAGTGTTTATGATGTGTTCTATGAAGAAACGAAATATTCTAAAAGTACATCTACTTGGAATTGTAGAAACAACATTCGAGTTAATATTAGAATACAATACAATAATTTTTTCAGACTGAACAAGAACAAATTCAATATGATGCGAAATGGAGATCATATTTTAATCACATAGAAAAGTGGATTCTTTTACCAATCACAGAAGAAACGAAAGATACAGAATTAGCATTCTGGATATATAGATGTATTGGGACATTAATTCTTTGTACTTCTACAATGCTGTATTCCAAAGTAAGTAATGATTAGCATATTTACAATGTGTATTTGAAAATTAGAATAGTATATTAATGTAAGTCTTTTTTAGACGAATAACATGTTCAAAACGTTACTGAGTAAAACTATTCTTTCGTCTGATCAACAATTTTTAAAAAATTTAGGGAAAAAGACATTTTCCATGATACTTTTGGGTATAGAGACTCTCAATGTTAAAAGTGATTTATCACTGCAGATAATGATAAAAGATCTTTTTGATCAGTATATACCGTTTTTAGTAACTTCAATAAATAATACAAATAATTTTAAAGTATCTGATTCGTTATTAAAATGTTTTAAAGACGCAAAGGCAGCTTTTGTACATTTAATACTTGAAATCTTGATGACAAACTTTTTTACTATTTCAAGTGACAACATGCTGCATAAACATTTCTATTTAGTAAGTATGGCACCTTTCTTGTATTATATGTTTACTGTGAAGTATATTATAAGTAACTATTTAATACAGATAATGATATTTCTACAAAATCTACTCAAAGGAGGAAAAGATTACGCCAATCATGTAGTAGAATATATTATTTTAATTTGTACACCTTACATTATTGAAGGCTACATAAAAGTTCATGATTACCATCCACATAAACAACACACTTTAGATTTCATGAAGAATATTGTTAGAAATCCATATTACAAAGAAAGCCATATCTTACAGTCAGTATCATTATTCTTAGATTCACAAAGGTTTTAAAACTATCATTCATAAACGTAATAATTTCAGAGAGAAGTTAAACACTGCAATATTTAACACTATTCAAAAATTAATTACAACAAATCAGCATAATACCTTTGAATTTCTGCAATCAATCTTATCAGTGAAGATTGAAATAGTACAGTCTATGTCACCAAAAATTGAACGTACCTTAATAGATCTGGAGAAAAATCGTCGTTCGAATGCAGCATCTTTAAGGTGATATTTTAATAAATATGTTTCTGCAATTATTTTACAAAAATTATATAATTTTACAGGTATTCTTGGAATCAACTTCAAAATGCTATGAAAAATACAAAATATGAATCAGAAAAATTGATTAATCAATAATCAATAGTATCTTAAAGATACTTCTCCATATTATGCTACAGATCCAGTAAGTATATTTAATTTGTTGTATAAATGAATAGCTATATTTGTGTATCTACGTATTTTTATGAAATCATATTGTATAAATTATACTCATCTATAAGAATAATGTACAAACATAAAACTATGACCCAGAAATAATATTTTAATGTTACATATAGTACAGATATGTTATAATTGTCGAGCTACGAAGCGTACATAAGTTTGACCGATCATATCTGTTTGGAAAGAAAGAATTGTATTTTACAAAATATGTAAAAAACAACACAGTCACTTTTTTAATCTATTTTCGATGTGAGTGTCTCGAACGATGATGCTTTAATGAAGTAGTAGTTGTACTACCGGGGGGCGATCGTCATCCAATTAATTCGAGACGAGACACGGCACTACGCACAGCATTTCGTAATGACTGTTCCGTATTGCCGTTTAATAGTGACTCTAATCTTTCAACGTAACTGTCAATATTTTGTAAGGTTGCACCGTCGTGTGTGCCTGAAATTAAACGAATATCTTTGTTACCCAACAATAAATTATACATTTAATAGAGTAACTTTTAAATCTATATAAATTCAACCTGGAAGAGGTACTGTTGCGAAACAACCAGCTAACTGTGAACGAAGGGAATCCAAATGACGCTGTAAAGCCTGATTAGTAGTGCGTTGTTGATTTGTTTCAGATTCCAAACGATTTACAGCTGCATATAGACTGTCCACGTGTCGTTGAAGAACAGCATTTTGAGCCTCGTAATCCGATGTAGCTTTCCTTAACTGTCTTAATTCTGCTTCACATGCTGATGGCATCAAAATTTATTGTAAATATTTCTTAAACACAAATAAGTATGAATTTGTTGAAAATATAAAAAGATTATTGTATCATTCACCTTTATTGTGATCCAAAAATTCTTCTGTGAATATAGGAATATCAAATCCTGTGAAATCATTGTCTTTTTCCTGTTGAATGTCCTAATAAGAATGATGTACATTAAAGTAATTGTAACAACGGTGTATTAAATACTTATAGAAAAAAAACGTGTACAGTACATTTTGCTCAGAATTGACATCAGTCCCGTTCCTTTCTTTTTTATTTTCTTGTTGCTTTTCTAATGACTGTTTTTCATTAAACAATCGGTATGCCTCGGTTTGTTTATAATCGCTAAATTCACGATTATAACGTTCTTTGTCTTGCTCAGCTGCGTCTAAATACTGTTGTTTTAGATCTGTTGGTAATGTGCTCCATTCTGAGGCAAGAAGTTTCGTAATTTCAGCAAATGATAGAGTTGGATTATCACTCCGTACTTTTTCTCTTCTATCATTTAAAAACCTATATCATAATGCATTAATATGTGTTCCTTTGATTACATTCATCTACATCAAATGAGTGCAAAAATTTTTAACAACTTTTGCACTCATGGAATATTTCAGTCATAAGAATTACCTGAAATATCCTGTAAGTGGTTGCTTAGGGGCAGTTGCATCTCTAGGAGCTTTTTTACGTTTCTTTGATCTATTTGTTGTACTAGTAGTATTACTCCCAATACCAGAGTTTGTATTATTCTTCTTTACTCCATTGTCGCATACAGAGTCAGGTGCTTTATCCTCTGCACTTATAGGTGATTTATCTAATATGTGAAATGTCATTAATGTAAAAAGGAGAATAATAAACGTGTATAATTAAAATATAACAGTCTTTGAATTACTTGTGTGTTCTTCAGCTTCTCCATTGAAAGTTGGTTGTTCTGGCCCACCGTTACTCTCAGATACATCATTAACCGGTGCACTTTCACTCATTTTCCACAATACTCACTTTTATTTTGTAACAATATCCTGCAGGTAACAATTTAAGTTCATAACTGATCTTATTGAGTACAGTGCAACAGTTGTAATGTTGCTTGAAAGGTTATATAAATATTTTATCCTATTAAGTATAAACGAATTATCATAATACTTAATACTTACTGTAATGCATATATTTTAAAGAATTTAATCCATTGATTTACATTCACATCAGCGTATTAGGTTAAGCCGTGAACACCTTAACAATAATTCCGTTGCAATTGAATGGAAACGAGACGGTGCCTTAAATCATGACCGGTGCTGCACGACAATGTGTATTTTATCAGTGAAAGTTAATTGTTTATAACAGAAACAATGTATGGAGAAAAATACATAATCATTAAGTTTAGTTGGCATAAACACTAAAGCCGACTCCTCATGGAGAGATTTTGGATGACGCTAATTCAAAGCTGATGATTTTACCGCTGAATTAAAACCCTAGATCGTTGGTTGAGGAAAGCGTACCATCGTCAAATGAAAAGTGGCGATTTAAATTCAAGCTTCATTCAACAGAACATGAGGAAAACCTATCTAAATCACGTGGGAATGAAGATCACTATTTAGCGCAATGTTCAACAGTTGTTTCACTATGTTACACTAAAATGTTCAGTTTTATATGTCACGAACAACGCTGTAGTAGGAGCTGATGATGTAAGATGGAAGTAAATGATAATTCAATTATTCTTCAAAATAGCAACAGGTAAAACATTTTATTTAGTTCATTTTAAATTACACGAGTATAATTTAAATGTGTTATTAATTTCATCCAAAGAGCAGAAGTTCACTTTGAACATCATTAAATAAATGGAAAACTAGGTTGTCTATTAATTTCATTTTCAGTGTGACAGTAGCTCATTCTGTGTGGAAATTTATTAACAGCCCTATTATTGCAATCTTCTCTGATCTAAAAAATGCAACTGCAGAACAAATGCTTCGATCCCTCTTAGAATCAATATTAAATGGCTCTGCTACTTTAACCACAGTTTTAGTTCCACCGTATACTAATGGAATGCAAAATGATGTATTACAGTGTCAATATGCAGGTAAGAAAATAATGTTATATTTGTAAGCATTCAGTGACATTAATATTATATTATATTTGCAGCATTTACCACTTGGCTATTTGGCACAATGTTTTATATAGTTGGGGAACCTTTGAGCAATGAAATTCTTATGAACAGTATAGAGATTCAAGCTTGCATGCTTAGAATATTATCTAGGCACCATATTACAATGTTTGAAGTTGTTAGTGCTGAATATATAAATATTCTTCAAGAAATATTAGAATTTTATAAAACTAATGGAGATGAGGATGAATTTACATTAGCTAAGTTTAATACAGACAGAGAAATTATAGAGAATTTGGATCTACGAGCATTTCCTGTTGTAATAAAGTATTTTGATATACCACAAGTACAAATATCTATATTAAAAATTATTGAGAAAACTGGGGTTTCAGTGTGGAATGAAAAAGTACTTTCAGATACCATGTTGAAAATACTTGTTGTATCTGTCCCAAATGTAAAGATTATGGCATTAAATTTGTGTTCAAAATTAATAGAGCTTTCTTTAATGAATGAACAGGAGCTTGAGAGTTTGATTCTCTATTTTATTGAAATTGTTAAAATAATTCCTACGTGGTTGGTGTCAAACGAATTACAAGGAAATCAGATATGTCAGCTTATAGAAATGTTTACTCAATTTATTGAGGCACTGCCTGTGTTTTCAAATAGTATTGAATTATGCTTGGAAACTATTCATTTTACAGTTCATAAGTTAATTAGGAATGGTGATAATGTTATAGCTATTGAAAAACTGAAAGAAATTATATCTAATAAAGTTAGACAATACTTTATTAGGGAACAAAGAGTTTGTACTCCTTCTGATATAAAAAGATTTATTTCACTTTTTGAGTATTATCCAGATTTCATTATTATTTTTAATCATTGTATTTTTGCTGATATTAAACGTAATGCCAGTGCCAATAATTTAGTCAGTGATATTTGTGAACCATGGAAGTTAGTGAGAAATGAATTAATTACTGCAACACATTCAAAGAAATTAGAAAAATGTGTATTTATCTTGAAAGCTTCTCGTATTTTACAATGTTGGTTGAAGGATTTAAAGTTGCCAATGAATTTATACACTACTGAATTAGATGATATTTTGAAAATACTTGTGGAGTATTTAAAATCAGGGCAATATCAGCAAATGCAAATCATTTTTGAATGCTTTATACATATGATAGCACATAATGAATCAAATAAGAATATACTTCAAAAATTATTGACATTACCATTTATTAGACATATTGAAATGCCTGTGGAATTCATTAATAATCATGTGAGAGAGGCAGCAGAGTCTCTAGAGATTGCTATGAAATTGAAATGTCTTGAAATTCTTTGTGAATTTAGTAATGGAATGGAAACATTAAAAATATTAAATACTTGTGTTTTAAATGATGAAAGTGACTTAGCAGTTGGAGCAGTACAGTAAGTATTTGATATTTAAAGATTTATTCACGTTGATACTAATAAAATATTTACAGGAATAGTGTGCTACTCCTAAAAAAGAGTGAAATAAAATTTGAAGATATCACGAGATTCGTTCTTCAACCTGCACTACAGTCAAACAAAGAAAAAGTTCATGAAATGCTAGTAACTGTTTTGGCTAAAATAAGTTGCTGTTTGTCTGGATGTGCAGATTTTGTAAGGTAATATTTTAATGAACTTCTTTTAATACATAGATTATTAAATATACTGTTCCTTTTTTCTTTAGAGAATTGGACAGCACAAAATGGGAAGTACAGTGTAAATGTTGCACAGATGATGTTGAAAGCAATGTGGATACTAATATCTATCGTGTCTCAGATGAATATGATTACCTCTTGAGCTCTTATTTTGGTTTATTATCTTCAAATTTTCTTTCTGTGCGTTTGAGCATTTCTAAAAATATATTGTCATTTTCAAATCATATAAATTCTTTTAATGATAATGAAATAGCAAAGATGTGGTCTCTATACATAGAAGATCAAGATCCCACAATTCGTTCTAATATTGCAGTAGCAATAAAGGGAATATTAAATAATAAAATAAACACAGTAAAGAAATCTGTCATATCCATAGAACATGATGTACCTGCTCCATTAGATGAATTTGTTGACTTAATAATTAATACTATGGCAAGTGCACTTATAAAAGCTCTAAAGAGTTCTGATCATGCACTTCATGAAACTTTGCTTCTTACAGTGAAAAATTTTGCAAGGTAAAATAAATGGAATTGGTAAAAAATTGTAGATTATACTAACTACTAATTATTACTTTCAGTATTCCATTGTATATTACGGAGCGACGAATTTTAAATATATTTCTCATCTCCATATTGTATTCTACATCATCACCAACAGCAGTAGCATTTGCTACAACGGCCTATAACGACTTTGCCAAATTATTAAACATTTCAACTAAAGTGTTATATGTTAGATATAAAAAAGATTTTCTTAAGGTATATACTTATGTATATGTATTTAACATTATTAGGACTAAAACGAATGATACTGTATTCTGAAATAATGTACTTTGTTAATTTTAGCTCATAGTGCAATGTGCAGTATACAATTTTATAAACTATTCTTATAATATGGCAACGTCGGTACACCGTGTTGCAAAGTGCATTGGATACGAAGGATCACGTCAATTACTGCGGAAAGATGGTCATTATGCAATTTGCTTTTTACTTTCTTTCATTGTCGATATACCAAATGCAAAAGCTCTGCTACGTGATATAGCAGAATTAGTTAGCATGGATGAAAAACAGATGCTAAAAGAATATTTTCCTGTAGGTACCCAAAGTGGAACATACCTTCCTCTTACGATGATCAAGTAATAATTCTAATTTGTTTATTCAGTATATTTGCAGTTATGCATTTTTAAATATGCCTCTTGCAAGTGCTGCAGAATATTTAAGATTGGTGTCAAGTCTTACACAAATGAATTTATCTGTACTGACAAGACAATCATTCATGGTAATATATGATTATGTTTAAAAATATAAATAATATATTGGTAATATTAAATTATATTTTACATTATATTCTGTGCATACAATTTATAGGGTATATTTGAGGAACTTATGTTGTATTTTCATGAATCTCCCGAAAAAGTGATTGGATTATTGAAAATTATATCCGATTATGACAATAGTTCAGAAAAAAATTTTATTACACAGAAAGGAATTGTAAGTTTGTATCCTTAGTAGTATTTACAATAACGGTTTCTAATTCAGTATAAAACTCATATTTTTATAATGCCTGTAGGAATCTTATTTGAATTTACGTTTGCATGGTATATTAGTGAACTTCGATATAAAACTAAGCTCGAAGTCTGATGAACATACACAGAAATCTGCACTTGCATCATTGGCTGCATTAATGAAGTTTATGGGACCCGAATATTTGACTCCATTAAGATACAAAATCCTAGCCACATTGAGAACTTCTCTTGGATTTAAAAGACCAGGATTTGGACCTCTTATATGTGATGCATGGGATGCATTTATTCATAAGTATGTAAAAAAAGAAGTAGTATTGTGTAATGTACCTTGTGACATACAGTTATTTTTTCCTTAATATTTCAGTATAGCTATAAAAGAACTTGGTCCACTATTACCAACAATATGTATATCATTAATATCATTATTGAAAATCTATTCTCAAAAAATAATCACTATATTGAAATTCCTCATTATTGAGTGCAATGAAGAAAACTCTGATCATATACCAGAATTGTTCTTTATAGATGACGTAGATGTACCTGATGAAATTGCACATATAATTAAAGCACGTGTTTTACAAGCTAGGTATGTAAAACTGAATTTCCTTTTACGCGCATCGATTGTATTTAATTTACCGAATATATTTATTCCTTTTAGACCAAAAGGTTTCGAAGCAAATTTAACATTATGGCTAAAACGTATCACACATGAAACGGATGAAGTGAGATCTAGGGCTTTAATATATTTACAAAAGTTCCTGGCGGAACACCGTAGTCAATTGAATAAAATGATTCTAAGCGACACGGATATTCACCCACTGATAGTTAAGGTACAATTATCTTATAAATTTATAAACCTGTTAATTGCGAATATTAACAGTTAACAATTTTATAGTTGTTGGATACATTATTAACTGGATGTCAACATAAAGATGAGAATATTCGTTTATTATACGGAGAATGTTTAGGGGAATTAGGTGCTATTGAACCAAGTCTCTTACCACGACGAATTATTTCTAGAGGTATACTTCTCGTAATTCATCGTTCATTTATTTCCTTTATTATAAAAATTTGTATAAATTATAGATGACTATAAATTTATTTCCGATATGAATGAGGAATTCGCTTGCGCTATGCTCTTTGAACATGTACAGGCACTTCAAATGCAAAAGAGTAGTCAAAGTATGGATTGTTTCTCACTAGCCATTCAGGTACATATATTATCAATATATAATATTTTTTTATAGTGTAATATTTTAAAAAATACAGATTATTTTAGGAAATTTTAAAAGCGTTTGAGATTACTCCTCAAGGCAGAAATAGTGAACTGTGGAACGATCTCCCTTTGACTACAAGACAAATTATTTCTCCCTTTTTAACATCACATTACAAAATTGCTGCTGTGAGTGACGATAAAATGTTTCCTCATCCTATTTATGGGTAAATACAGAATGTAATTATGGTTTTACTTACATTACTTACTATTAAAGTGTGCTTTGAATTTTTACAGTTCTGAAGCCGGCTCTTCTGTTGAAAATTGGGCATACAATTGGCTCTGTAGCATGTTTAACAATATCCACGATGAAAAACTTAACAGTGTATTGCGTGCATGCAAATTAGCTCTCAAGCGAGACATAAAAATATTAACATTCTGCTTGCCACATGTTGTATGTAAGTAAATGTAATAGGAAAGTTATATTAATAATCGTTAAATACATATGATTTCTTTTAATTAGCATATATAATAACAAATGGCTCAGAACAAGAACATACAAAGATACGAGAGGAAATGTTGGCAATAATTGATGTTAGAAAGAAACCTACGCTTGATCCTGAATTATCCCGTCATCGACCACTTAGGAATGTACATAGTATTAAAACAGATGATACGAGAATCTCAGAAGAAACCAGACGTACGCGTTGTGCACAGGTAAAGATAAATTAAAAAAGTACTATCATTATAGTTCCTTGAATAATTTATTATACAATTCTCGGACAGATCGTCTTTTCAGTATTAGATCATTTACAAAGATGGCTATGGGAACAACGGTTAAATCGTAATCGTAAATACAAAGCAGTGGAAAGTATGTTATTTATTATTCTGTTAAAGTGTTTATGTGACTATCGGTATCTATTGATTTGATATTTTAGATTTTTGTGAAAAATTAAACACGTTAATAGTGGCTGAAGGGTGTTATCAATCTAGAGAATATCATAGGGCTTTAATGTATTTGGAGCAACACATGGTCTCCTCTAATAAAGGTTTGTCTGAACCTCTGGAGGGTGGATTGATAGCTGTAAGTGGACTTGGAATAATTCAAATTAAATTAATGTAATTTTCAATGTATCTTATGTTAGCTTTTTTATTAGAAAATATATGCACAATTGGACGAGCCAGATGGTATATCCGGTATACTAGCTTCTCAGGATCACACGCCTACGGTGCAACAGTTAATCTTAGCTCACGAAGTTAATGGACAGCTTCAGGTAACATAGAATTCGTGATTAAGAATATTAATAGGTATTCTTATATGTAAGACTAATGTAATCTGTAGGATGCAGCCACATGCTATGAAAGATTAGCACAAAAGACAGCATTGAAACATACATATCTTCAAGGAATGATTCAATGCTACCTCGGTCTTGATCAACCTTTCACGGCGAAACATATTACCGAAGGAGTTTTGAGCAGCAGGTAATCATACATAAATATTAAATAATTAACTTTATTTAATAAAAATATTTCATTTTATTTATAGACCAGAATTAGAACCATTAATGATTGATAATGAGCCTTTCTGGAAACTGGCTCATTTCACTAGACTAGATGATACTTTGCAAAAAAATATAAAACATTCTTTATTAGAAGATCTGAAACAAGGGGTAAAACCAGACTTGTTGGCATTAAAACAGAATTTAGTTATGCTATTAGAAGATGCTTCGCGTCCAGGAGCTTATCAACAATGTTACTCCTATATTATGAAGTAAGATTAATATTTAAAATTATGTTTGACATTAGAGAATTATATTTATTAAAATTTTCTGTGATAACAGGCTACATATACTGAATGAATTCGATAAGGCAGTGTCTACGATGCTAACAGATATACAGCAACTTCCAATGATATTCGAAGAATGGGAAAAACGTGGCCAGCTTGTTAGATCTTCTCGTGGGGTGGAATTTGTATTAAGTATGCGTAGAGCTACTTTAGATTTAGCAGTCCAGTTAGAGAAGCAGATTAACAATACAGAAAATTCTATGCTTAAACAAGAAATTGGAAAAATTTGGCTTAAGAGTGCCAAAATTGCGAGGAAGTACGAATTCTTATTACTGAGTAAGAATCATTAATTTTTGTACTGTATTTTAAAGTTATTTTGTTTTGTTAGGAGAGGATTGCATCAACAAGCGTACATGTACATTTTATCAGCTAGCGATTCTTGTCCATTACAACAGCTATACATAGAACAAGCTCAGTTGTATTGGCAAAAAGGTTGCCAAGAAGATGCTTTTACAACATTAAAGCGATGTTTTGCTAGCTGTTTCCAACCGGCTAGTTATTACAAAACCCTATCATCATTAAACTGTGTTGAAGAAAGAAAACAATGTGCAAAGGTATGTACGCAACAATGTAAGATAATATTAAGTGACAAAGTTAATTTATATTTGTGCACTAGGCGAAACTTCTGTATGCAAAATATAATGATGAAACGGTGAACGTAGATACCGATGCCAATATCATGAATTATAAAGAGGCTATTGAAGTTTGGAGAGAGTGGGAGAAAAGTTTTCTTGCATGTGCTCAGTACTATGAGTCTGTTATAGACAGGTTGTCAGATGAAGAGAAGGACAAAAAAGGAAGGTAATTATTATCTTAGATGTTATTTATCTAATGATAATGTTAGTAACATATAATTATTTTAGAGATTTACAAGTACATACTATGAATTTCTATGGAAAGTCACTTCTATATGGTTGCAAGTATATTCACCAATCTATGCCAAGAATGTTAACTGTATGGCTAGATTTTGCTTCTCGTGTAAGATCTCGATCTCATCATTCCGTAAATGAAGAAGTTGAAAAATACCAACGAGATGCGTTACTAAAAATGACAAAAATTATGGGTGAGTACAAAAGAATAAATGTGTGAAGACTTAAAAAATTAAAATCATTTGTTTCCATGTTATAGAAGTGTATCAAGACCGACTGCCAATATTTATGTGGTTAACTGCATTCAGTCAGCTTGTATCTAGAATATGTCATCCATCAACAGAAGTACAAAATACCCTTTATACAATATTAGTAAAGCTAATCTATGCTTATCCACAACATTGCTTATGGATGATGGCGTCAGTTATCAATGTAAGCGTTCAAACTATCAAGAATTTAATTAGATCTTAAATGAAAATATTTTTCAGTCATCTTATCCTGCACGCCAGAGGTGCTGTAGGGAAATTCTAAATAATCCGAAGTTAAAATCAGGGGAAATGTTGAAACTTATAAAAGATTTCCATAGGCTGTGGGAGAGACTAATCGAATTATCTAATAAGCCAATACCTGATGTGAGTAAAAGAGATATATACATTACGTAAAAAACAAACATGTTGTTTATATATAATTTTATAATAGGGCGTTCTGAACACTACAGTCAGTCAGTTATCACGAAATTTGCCTCGTTTACTTTCAACCAAAGACTTCAGCTCAATTATGATGCCAACAACCAAATTCAAACAACTTCATCTACCCTCTAAAGGAGTATCCTTAGAAAACCATAATCCATTTTCATCGTAAGTATATAAAGTTATACAATAATATCTTTAATACTCCTTGCCTATTGTTCATTATAAATAAATTGGCAATTCTCTTAATGTCTAGCAATTGGGTTCATATATCTGGCATAGAAGAAGGCATACTCGTTATGCCATCTCTTCAAAGACCGCGTCGCATCGCATTAAAAGGATCAGATGGTAAGCAATATCTTTTCATGTGTAAACCGAAGGACGATTTGCGAAGGGATTTCAGATTAATGGAGTTCAACGATATCGTAAATAAATATCTGCAAAATGACCCAGAATCTCGCCAAAGAAGATTGTACATTCGAACATACGTAAGTTTTTAAAATTATAAAGTATTGGAGACCCTAACACGAAACACGTGTTTCTCTCATTACAGAGTGTTGTTCCCTTAAACGAAGAATGTGGTTTAATAGAATGGGTACCGAATCTAGTTGGTTTTAGGCCGATCATACTAAACATGTATAAGGAAAGGGGTATTGCAATTTCAACCAGAGAACTCAGAAGCATGTTATGCAGTAAGTTATGGTAACGTTAAATTAAATTTTCATTTAATATCATAAAAATCTTACTTGCATGTTACATTGTAGCTTTAAAAGATTCTCTGGAAAAAAAGAGGAAGGTGTTTTTAGAACAACTCATGCCTCGACACCCTTCTGTTCTTGGAGATTGGTTCCGCCTCACATTCCCTGATCCATATGGATGGTAAAATTTATAATTAATAATAATATGATTTACTATTCAAGTATAACACGTGAAATAAAAAGAATTTGTAATACAGGTACGAAGCACGTACCGCTTACATTAGAACTACAGCAGTGATGTCCATGGTAGGATATATTCTTGGTCTCGGAGATCGGCATGGAGAGAATATATTGTATGATTCTAAATGTGGAGACTGTGTGCATGTGGATTTCAATTGTTTATTTAACAGGGTATGGACGACATCTAGTAGAAATTAAATATTATGTATACGCCTATTATAAATAACAAATGGATATTTATAAAAACAAATATTAATTACTAGGGTGAACTGTTTGATTGGCCAGAACGAGTGCCATTTCGTTTAACTCATAATATGGTAGACGCTATGGGACCATTAAAAATTGAGGGACCATTTAGGCGTGCTTGTGAGACTACTATGAGGGTTCTTCGACAACAGTGTAGTACATTAGTAAGTGTACTCACTCCATTTGTATATGATCCGCTTGTTAGCTGGAACAAAAATCAAGCCTGCGAAGGCGGTGAAAAAACAAACGAAAAGGTAAAACACAAAAATACCGTAGATTATCTATGATGGTATACTGTAAAGTAAATCATAAATGTTTTAGGCTGTAGAACATATAAAAAATATAGAACAGCGACTTAAGGGTTTAATTCGATCACATGGAAAGAAATTAGAAAATATTGCACTGAACTTAAGTGTTGAAGGACAAACTAATCATCTGATTTTGGAAGCAACTAACATAGATAACCTTTGCCAAATGTATTTTGGTTGGGGTGCGTACATGTAAGGAATAATTAAGAGAATACCTGATTACTTGTATATAACACAATAATTGCGGGATATTTATAATTATGAAAATCAAATCCGATTCTTAAGCTTCTAAATTGAAGCTTCGAAACATCATAAAGTATGAAAGTGCAGTACTAAGGGTCTGCAAAATGTATATAAATCATTTATACAATTTCTGTATATTGTAAGCAACATTATGATATTAAAAATTTTATATGTTTTCATACAATAGATACGTAAACTTTTACCGAAGCGAAGCTTTCCAATTGCATGATATATATTTTCCCTGCAGAAATGTAACTAGGTCTTTGCGAACGTAGCATAATCATCAATGCTTCGTACTTAACGAAAGTTGACACTTTGTACCATTGTATAGAATATACAGCTCGGCTTATCCCAACACTCTATTACCATAAAAAATAATTTGAGATTAAATATATCATGTTGTACAAAATAATGCGATCCACGTTTATCTACGATTATTTTTACCTGGGAGATTAATATATCTCCAGGAAAACAAAAAAGCAGTAATTGGAAAAATGCCACTATTAAATGGGAACCAAATTTTATCAACTTAGATTGATCCAATAAAGTCTATAATCAAAGAAATATGAATAGATAATGAATTATAATAATGTAACATATATTTTGTGCTGAAAATAAATTCCATAATTCCAAAATTATGCTTACTATAGAAACTTGCAAACCAACAAAACAAAGTATAAGGCTACTGGCCACAGTTTGCAAAAATAGCATTACATTAAAATTCTTTTCCATATTATTACAGAACCTGAAGTTTGTTAAACTGAATAAGAAAATGCTTGACTTGTATTATACATATTAAGTTGACTTACCAAAGAATTACTTGATGATATTTAATTATATGTGCTATTTGAATCTTTATTTTGAACAAAATTGCACTTACACTTTTCGAATTATTTTTTAAGCTATGTAACTATAAAACAGTATATATATAAATCATTATTTAGCTGGAGTATTATATAAATGATTGTATACATACATGGTAAATATCAGAATTCAGTTGTTTTAAGTTTTCTTTAAGTATTTGAAAGTGACCACATGTATGTAGTAAAGCACTTGCAATCAAAGTGTCAGTTGCAAGCATCATAAAACCACAGGCGCTTGTTGCCAGTATTTGAGATACATAAACTGTCTGTGTGTATAGTCAAATGAAATTACTTTTTATAAGAATAAGTTTACGAGGAACAAGAAAAAGTTATAAACAATACCTCATAAAGTGGAAAGTTATAAAAAGCCAAAGGATATGATGCAAGAAATGGGAAATTTTTTAAAACAGTTGAGTTATTACTTGAGCCTTGAATTATAAATATATTGACAATAGGTACACTGAAGAAGAATAATAAGGCATTAATTATTAAAAATAGATAGCCCTTTGTGACGTTTTTAGCAAATCTGAAACATTATATATTATATATGGTATACGATTAAATTATATATTTCTTTTTCGAACATTAAAAACTATTTACATTGCATATTCCTCTAAATGTTTGAAAACGTCAGGCTTGCCGAATTTCCAATAATCTGTTAACATGAAATTAATAAAAGATTCCAACTTCTTTCCATTAAGAAACCAAATTAATGACTTCAATATAGCAAGTAATATCGTCAGTAAAACAGAACTGCAAAAAAAACAGAAAAGTTATTAATTAGGTACTTCAATTCATACTAAGTTTGAATTACTTTATTATTAAATGTATTTAAACCTTGTTTCAAAAATAATATTTAAATCTTCCAAATTTTTATAAATCTCTATTATTAATGGTATGATAATAAGTACAATGCAAATAATGCATGTACTGTATCTTATAATATTTATTGGATAAAGTCCAACAATTTTTAGAACAAATAAATTTATAAATATATAATTTTCAATATTCATTATATTTTAATTTTAATTTTAATCTTAAACGATAGTTTATTTAAGTAACATACTCCCGACACTTTAGACTTCATCTACCACGTTATTGATAGAATACTACCTGTCTTTAGCACATAGCATTAAACCGCTCGTCAAGTGAATAGTCCAAATGATTATTAATATTGAATTCATGGATAATTTAAGTTAATTTCAGAGACCATAAATTTAATGTACTTTATCATTAGTACAAATTGTGCTATGTCCTTTGATCTAGTGGTAATTTTATCAATAGAGAGCTTATTACTTGAATTACAGGTTTCTTTGAAAATTATACCTTTTAGTCTTGTATTATTCATAGAGAGCATCTTCACTATGGCATACTACAAGTGATGACAAGTTAGAAGCACTTTAAAAACGAAGCTATACTTTTATAATGTTCTTTGAGGGTTTGCTGTCTCAGTAGTAAGAATTTGTTTCAACAGAAAGTACTTGTGATAAAGGGATACGGATGCGCTTGTGCAGTAATATTAAATACTTGTATTTTCATAGTAAGTTTTTATAAAAATTTTAATACATCTTTGCATACACCATTTCTTATAAAATTTTATTGCGTTTATGTGGTGCATCGATAATAAATAAAATTTCCACTTTTGACTGCATATTTTACAAGTCATTGTTCAGTATCACTTATAAGTAAAATATACTTATCTTAGATCAAGATTCAGAACACATTACCGTTAAACGAATGTTAAAAAATGCGGAATTTGTTTCTGTGTATGTATCTTTTACTTTGTTTAAACATAATCATTTATACCTATTTACTTAAAAATGAAATCTTCAAGGAAATGTTTGTACAAATATTAACGATTTGATAAGACGAAGATAAATGGAAATAACTTATTTATTTAGGGACATTTTCGTTCTACTTGACTCTTTCCACTTTCTTCGTATTCTTGACTTGAAATCCACATTTGCTGGAAAGTACCAATCGAGGCCAAAATAGATCCACCAATCCAAGCTCCAAATCGCCGTTCAGCGCATCCATTTACACTGATTAACTTCAATCTCATACTAGATGGTATTCTCATAGACAAATCTCTGTTTAAACGCTCTGGGAAGCCCTGCATTATTCGTTAAATTGTTGTAGGTAAAGTATGAATAAGGGAATTTCAAACTTCACTTAATTTTAATAATCTAATCATACCTGAATGAATGAATTTCCACCAGTAACAACAACACTTCCATATAAAGCAGGTCTTACATCAACATCACACATACCAACGCTAGTTTGTACAATGTGACCCACTCCTAACATAGTATTACCAACCATACCACCACGCATTTGCACCATGCTAGGATCGAAGAGAGCTTCTGGTATACGAAATCTTTCACTTCCAAAATCCTTAGAATATTATCATAATAATATTATTAATATTACATCGATAATTATTATATTGTTAATGATATGAATGGCCTTATGTACCTGATGGTAACCTGTTGGAAATTCATACTGAACTGCTGGAATTGTGGAAACTACTTTCTCATCATATGGAGTTTCTGATACTTGTAGCACAGTAGCTTGAAAATCTTGGATAAGTTTCTTCACCATGTAATTGTGCCAGGATTTAGTAACTTCTGGTAAACCTTTCTTTTTAATCCACCGAGGTTTATCATGATCTTTCACAACTTCTTTACTACCCACCATGTAGGAAGGAGACAAATCAATGTCATTGTCCTGTTGTTATTTAAAGAATACAGTTATTTCATGTATTTTTCTCTATCGTAAAATAATGTTTGTAAGTATGTTTATACCTGAAGAAATTGTCTACACTGCATGCTAATATAGTCTCCTCCCAGAGGAGATTTAACTATTGCTTGTGTTAAAACAAAACCATCTTGAACTGGCACAGCAGAGGTATGCGTTGCTCCACTGTCAACAACAATACCAGTTGCTCTACCATTTGCAAAAGCAGCGAGAACTGCATTTTTTACTAGAAAATATGCTGGTACATTATATTTTTCGAACATTAATTCAGTTAGCCTCTCTCTTTTACTACGAACATTCCAAGGAGATTCGGAAAACAATACTGGGTGATATTCTGCATCCGACTGAATTACTTTGGAGTAAGTATAATCTAAAACCTATTAATTATAGTTTTATTTGATGTACATGAAATTAAAAATGTTAATTGACAGCATATCTTTATGTTACCTTTTCAAAATGATCCCAATCCTCGATCATACCATCTTTCATGTAACTTACAACTTCCATATTCTTTCGAGGAACATGGAGTATAGTAGTGTCAATATAATACTTGGTCCCAGATTGTGTAATATTATTATCTGGTTTTTTATCATCAATGTCCATAGGTTCTGTTTTTGTTGCTGTACAATTGCCATCTTCTCCTACACCTATTACAGCTGGAATTTCTGCTTTTGGTGTATCTTCTTGAGCATAACCAACCCTCAAGGAATGATGACCCAAGTCAAATACTAAAGCTCCAATTTCATCTCCACCATAAAGCATACCTCCTGACATTTTGTTGGTTTCAAAAATATCTATGACAATAATAAAATTATTGGTACAACTTCTCTCCTATAATAGTCACCACAATATCCTAATTATCGCTTGTATCGGCATCAAGAATAATTCAGGAATTATCCTCTATCATAAAAACAATGTAAATACTAAATTTAGTACACATAAGCCGGATAGGAGATAACTCGTAATGAATTAAAATATTATAAATATATTCCAATATTTACTTCAGGACTCACCGTAACGTGTTTACAAAAATAACTCAATGAAACAGTAAAAATATATATACTTGACGGCTACATGAACATTTATTTATGTATTTTTTTTAATGCAACAGAAACATAACCTCAACTCAGAACGACGCTTAGTACCGCCACCATGGATAAAGCTATTTCTAGATCAGAAGATTCTTCGATCAAATTATGGAATCTCTGCTCCTATATTTCCATTATTGCACATCATTTCTTATTCAAACAAAAAGTATAATGTGCCGAATACATTTAATTTATTACAAGTTCTTTCAGCAATCTCTTTATACAGTTGTAGTTATACGATTCCAAACTTTGTAGATAACGGTATGTCTAATAGACTTACTCTTCCATTTAGTAATTAAATACGACAAACGATCTCACGTACAATGTACAAATATATAATTTCCTCAATGAAATATGTATATGTATATTTTAAAACCTTTTTTATTTATTTTCTTCTTTAAAATCACGAACTAAAAGAATATCTGAATAGCTCTTGTAAAATAAAGAATTCAGATATTTCAATCTCAAAAACATATATCGAATTTATTCAAAGTTAAGGATTACTTCAATGCATTATATTCTTATACTAAGAAATGTAATAAATAAATTTATTTAACCAAACAAAATACTCAATGATAACGTTCAAATTATTTTCGTTAAAAGAAAAAAACAGAATTCGAGATCATTGGTCGGTACGAACGAACTGTTCGAACCACCTGTTAATTACAGGACTTCTCGCGGACAGCGCTACAGTCACGACAGCCCACAAAATGGCGTCCCGAGTCAGATTGTCGGACGACTCGAGACAATGCGGAGGTGTATAGCCGTCCTTTAGCCATGTTCTATCGTCTGGTTCGCGACAGTGTAGTGCGAGAATGCGGTTTACGAATGTAAGATTCGAACGATCGTTTGATGGGCAACGGTGAGCCAAAGGAATTGGCATGTGTTCGCACGACAGAACATTGTATGCTGGTGCAGCGATCGCGTGAAGAAATTCCGCTGGGTTTTTGTACGCGTCGGAGTCTGTGACACCCGCTGGCCTAATGGAGCCGCGTACTCTCGCTGTCCCGTTGGCTTTGTTGACATTCGTCGTATCGGGTGAGTTCTACGCATTCTTATTCAACGAACACGTCGCTAAACATCATTTTCATCACGCGAAACACTTGGCGAAGCCGATTCTGTCAAGAAACGTCGTGCTCCCGTCGAAATCAATTTAAATCTCAAGCGACAGTATGCCGTCGTGCGATCGAGACTAGTATCTGCGCAGGACAGCATTGTCACTCGCGGATATATCGTTGAAAACGGCCTCCCGATTACAGAGAAAAACGCGATAGAGCTTCGTTACGTCCTGTTCAGCGTTTTATCGGCGAGCCTTGGTGAAAAAAAATGGGAAACACGGTATTACTACACGGTTACCGTCGTTGGCGCGTTACGTCTGGCCGTAACAGTAGTAGTAGGCAAATATTTACGAGACCGTTCCGCGATTTTCTGTTTGCTAATCTCTTAACGCCGTAGATTACGCCATGGAAAACGTTCCGGAACCTGTGCTCGATAACTCTGAACCGTTCCACGGTGAGAATAACGATTGATCCCTCGATGAAATAACTCGCAGCGGCGATACATCGGGGCACTCGTATGGGATTTCGATAACGATTGATTACTACGAACGCGAGTATAGAGCCTGACGATAAACTTCTTCGATCGTTTATCATCGTAGAATTTTCAATGGAATAACGGCGTTATATTATTTTAGTTTTATATTTAATCCTTGTCACTTCCAGAATATCCTAACACGATTGTTCCAAATAAATTCTCTCAATATCAAAGGGGAAATTCAATTATGAATATTGGATATGCATAAAATAATAAAAAAGATACAGAAAATTAATTCAAACCTATTTTAACGTTGCAATTTTCTTAATATCAAAGGGGAAATTCAATTATGAATGTTGGATAAGCATAAAATAATAAAAAAGACACAGAAAATGAATTCAAACGTATTTTATCGTTGCAATTTTCTTAATATCAAAGGGGAAATTCAATTTTGTATGTTGAGCGAGCATAAAATAATATAAAAATATACAGAAAATTAATTTATACGTATTTTAATGTTACAATTGTTTTCGACGTATCCGTGCTTGGCAGTGAGACTGCTGGTCGAAGTGATAAGGGTTGAAACATATGTTATTGATGTGAAGCTCGACGCACGAAAGTATCCCGCGAGAATTTAGTTGAGAGACACTGCACCCTGGCCGACTATTATTGATGCAGAGGAGGTTATCTCGTGTAAGGGGGATGCTTCGGGGGTGTACCTCTGATTGCAACGATCTGGGTAGTTTCCCTTGGTAATACTGTCGCAATAACGAGGGCAGTATAGTTCCCTTGATAAAAGTAACAACGGATTGGGAGAGGCGGAAAGCAGGGCTAGGAACCATTGTTCTAGTCCTTGGGCCAGTGTACACAAATATAATAGTCTCTGTGTCCGTCAATGGCAGAGGCTCATTACAGGAGTAGCTCGTCAACAATGGGGCACCGTTTTCTGCGGTATAGTCAATGCTCGATATACCCAGAATTCTTTCAATATGAATTCGGATACATTTCAACATAACAAAAACGGTTAACCTTTTGAGTGCTATGGACGCATATATGCGTTTTACAATATTTTTGATCTGACACGTTTGTTCTTAACGTTATTCAATACGGCAAAACCGAGGAATTAAAATTACAACTTAATTACGACTTGTACGAATTAACCCCTATGATTTATTTCTTAACTACGATAAATATAATTACTTTATCGTTGATCATTTATTAGGAAAGGAAACAATTTTGATGTTAATTCTATGTGTAAATTAACTCCAAAGGTTAACGATTGCTAATAGAAATATAATATTTAGTTTATATTAAAAGGAAATATAAATAACACTTAAATTTGCGAAATTCAATTTAAGATTTTCGTCACGAGTCTGACACGATATTCTAGGTGAAGGGGTTAACATAGTTCATCGATCTTCAGATGGCAAGCCAAGCAAAAGAATATTTCGACCACGCGGAACGTTTCGGCTGAGAGTATTCAGCGCCCAAAGGGTTAACAATAGAATTCCTCGTTGAAACGAGAGGAACAGGATTAACTGCTTGATCATGAGTATGTAATTTGGTTTTTGAAAGTGTAAATACGAGGCAGCTACCGAAACCGAGTTATAGAAAACCAGCGACCTCGAATGCAATTCGAGAAGGTGATCATTTCGTTCGTCGAAACGAGAGTACCCCATTAAAGAAGTTGCGCCGCTAGAAGCATTTACGTCAAACACTCGAGCAAAGTATTCCAACAACGCGGCAAGCCTCTCCTTGCGATTTTATCATGATAGAAAATGCATCTACTAAACGTCCAGCGTCATAACTTTAAGGGGGTTCCATACATCTCGAGAGCCAAAGAATTATACGAATGTCTGAGATTTCTTTCCGTTGAAATTAATTTCGCTGGACAAATTTTCGCCAGACTACACCGAGTACGTCGATAGAGGATCTTCCTAGAAATATTCGAGAGAGATTATATTCCTGAGTAACATCAGTTTTCGTAGAAATTTTTCTTGTATTCGGATGCGCATGTATTCTCTTTTCCGTTTGGAGCACTCTCCGTTTAGTAATCGTACCCGGTGGAATGGTGTTTGTAGAAATTAATGATGTTCACGACGATGTTACCGCCTCCGTTGTTCCTCTTATTATCCTTCTTATTTGCTTTTCATTATTACATGTACGCGCGTCTAGTTAGATATAAAGATCCATTTCCGGTGCATCGTGGTGGTAAAGCGTTCAAACAATGAAAGGGGTCTTAAAAGGGTGCCTTCCTCAAATAAACCAGTTAGCTTTGTCTGGGATATGGTACCCACTATTGACGGCACAGCCCACTGCAGGACAATTATGGGCCCAAACAAACGGAACATGATAAATTCAACACTGGCGCGTCAGCTACCGATTCTAGTTCATTGATCTTCCCTCGAAGACTAATTTTGGATCGATTTCGAATCCACGTGAACGCATGTTAATTTAGCCATTAAAACAGTGTCTATTTCGAATATCCTAACGCCAACAAGTCTGGAAGTTTGTAAAGCGGTATTCAACGTATTCACGAGCCTGGTTACATTTCCATCGAAGATCATAAATGTCCAAATGTGTATAGACAGCGGTGTACACTGTAATTTTGTCGTTGTAAAAATGAGCAACGCCTGTAGCTTGTTTCCGCAGAACTTCTGTGGCCTCTAGAACAATTTTCGTTTGTCATCGTTAGAACAGTGTGCGCATAAGGGCCCGTTCGCGGTGTAAATTCGACACGTGAAGATCTACTTTGGCGCTGGTAGCCCAAATACGGTACATGATCGTGCAACACAACCGCGTTTCAATGTGTTCCACGTAAAGTGGTATTTACAAACGCGTGTACTGTGGCGACCGATGTCGTAACAACACCTTAACGGTCAGCGCCCACGTAGCGTATGCGCGTGCATATCGATGTATAGGGTGATTTACCTAAGAACACTCTCCGCATCTCAATGAACGGTCCTCGATTAATTTGGTGTCGACATATCGCCACCCTCCTCTATGCTCGCCTGGTTATCCGAAATTGATCAGAATTCTTTCCTGCGAATCGAATGAAATTAGAAAGGTGCTAGAACGACGACGTTCCCATATAAGAATACATGAGAACGTCTATGGGAAAGGATGCCCTCGCGGGAAACTAGAATAGATAAAATATTGGCAGGCTGCTGATCCACGTAACATCCGTGCATTTAGCGGTGACACGAAACGAGAAGCGCAACGGAAGATCAAATGGAACAAAAGGAACAGATGATTTTACCGATTTATGACTAACCCGCAAAGTAGGGTGGTTGGGGTAAGTTTCAGTCGGCTCTGAGGCTGTTGGTTTTGTAAACCTGGTCGCATTGCTTTTTCTTCTCCTTACAAAGGTATCACGTTCACTCGTGGTTGCATCACGTTGGCAATTCCATTACCGCCGTACCTTGTCGCGCGCGTTATCCTTTCAGGGCAGCGTCGTTTCCCGAATTCTCGGACGTTTCGCGGAACATCGGTGCCGGGAACGGAAGTGGTAACAGTCACGATACCGAAGGAGATAAGAGGAAGACAGATGAGGTCGGGGTTCGCGGGATTCATTTATCGATCGCGAAAGTCAAGCCTAGATTTCCGTCCACCCTGGCCGCTTGTTCTACGTGCCCTCCTGCGACCCCAATTTGTCGTGAACGATTAATTGATTCCATCGCGGACTACGAGGGATCTCGTAATATTCTTCATCCCCCCCGACACCGGTTCATCAGTATTTATGCGACACCCCGTATACTCGTCATGCCACGGTGTATACGTACCTTGCCTTCCTTCACGGTCTGTTCGTCACATGTCGAGTACTTTTACCACGTTTTTCAACATTCTCCCTCCTCCTTCCCTTGCCGGCTTCCACGGGCATGCAAACTCGCCCCGCGAATTAATCTATGCTGCGAAAAAATTCGGACGATTTATTAATGCGAGAAAACGCGTGTCACGTACAGGGTGTACCGAAGTACCTTGCAATACTAGTTGCACGAGGGTGATGTTACGTATAAAATACAGTTGAAAATGAGAGATTTTCCCTGGTGGACGTGGTTTTTGAGAATGTTGGCTTTGCATATTCACCTGGTCGTTGTTTGTTCTTAATTAAGTTTGCCACTTAATGATGAAATAGGATGTTCGGGATAAGTTTGATCGGGTTGGAAATCGTTGAAAATATTCTCCATTCTGTAGAATAAACGAATGCAACGGTTAGGGAAGTATAATGTTTTGTTACATGTTTTCGTGGGTGCATTGTTGAAAAATGTACGGTTACCGATCAAAAGGAGAAAGTACCACTGCTTTCTAAGCATTTTTGCCGAAGTGTAACCGTTCGAGGAGCCCCGAGAAAACACTTCGCATCGCGGAACGATTCCCTGCATCGATCGTGTGAACCTTATCTGCAGGGAATTATCCGATACATTTAGCTCGTCCGAGATAGCGACTTCAAGACTCGTTGTAAGTTTGTACGCGATACTTACATCCTCCTTCCACTGTCTCTCTCTTTCTCTCTCTCTCTCTCCCCCCTCTCTCTTCAGCTCCCGTTATGCTACTAAACAAGACGTATAAACTGATGTCTGACAAACACCCTGTCTATAGGGTGTCGAATAGTTTTGCTGAAAGCAAAAAAAAATTCATTAGGAATTCTCCATCGTAGCACGTGGATGTAATAATTGCAAAGACAAATGATTATTTTCTACTGGTCTTCAAACAATGTACCACCATCTTGATTGTACCAGCATCAGCAAACTTTCAAAATATATTGCTTCCTTTTTCCCAAGTTCCAGACGAAGAATACCATTTGCTGATCATGCAACCCTTATCACTTTAACCAACAGTATCACTGCCAAGCACGGATACATTGTAAACAATTGCAACATTAACACTAGAACTACCGATCACTTAAACTAATTTTTACAAACTTCTGCTTAACAACCTCTAAATCAAATTATTATGATTTCAATTGACTTGTATTTCAGCTTTTCTATTACCAAATTAGTTTTATTAATCATCTTTCGCGGAAAATATCGGTACGTTTTCAATCATTGTAAAAGAAGAAATCAGGAATAAGTCATTTTGACCGGTAGTCTAGTGTTATAATACGTACGACTTAATTTCCTATATTTTTTAACACGTTGAATGCTACGAGGGTCACCGGTAACCCCAACCAAAGCGAATCACATAATTCACTCAGTTAAACGATGCTCATTTGAAAACATTTCTAAATAATGCTACCTAACGCGGTGACATTCAACTAAACGAACGCGCAATGACGATAATGCAATTCAATCAGAAGATTCAATATTTAATTTCTTCCATTTCACGTATTTTGCTCTATGAGATCGTACGGCATTCAATGTGTTAATATTATTTTATGCTTACCCAACATTCATAATTGAATTTCCTCGTTGAAACGAGCAAAATTCATTTGTAGCGACTGGCGATCACTCTCCGAGTGATAAGGGTTAATTGAATAGTATCGTTGCGGTTGCACGAAAAAAAAGGGAACAGATCACAGGACGTCCTGTAACAAAGTAAGGTACAGTGGTTGTTCTCGAGACAGATTTACCTCGCGCGTACACACCGCAATGGTTCTCCTCTTGATCTATTTCGGTATGCCGTGCGGTAGGTTGTCGCCCGCACTCATAAATCAAATAGTCAGACGGCGAACGGTTTATTTTCCTTGAGAATGCAGCGTCGTGGCGCTATCGGGCGCCAAATTTCGCACGTTCCCTTTTCCTCCTTTTTTTTCTCTCCTCTCCTCTCCTCTACATTCGTTTATCGGCGCGCTCGAGCCCGATGCCTGTTGAACGGACCCGTCAAGCGAAGCGGAACTAATCTCTAACGATTTTTCAAGGAGCGGGGGGGAATTCGAGAATCGAAAGAACGAAACGGATCGATACATGTTCTCTCTTTCTTTTCGTCCGATCGAGCGAACGTAGCCGCAATTCGGCGGCGGTAAAAATTCGAAACGTGATATCGGGGAAACTAGAAACTCGCAGACCGAAAGAAATAACGTTCCGCGTAGAGAATTAATTCTCTATGTCGATCGTTGAAGACGTGTTCGCGCTCCTTCGCGAAGGTTGCACGGAAAGGTGACAGACCACCGTGAGCGTGAAACTGTAACCCAATAACCGTGGACAGTGTCTCTCAATTTTCTCGAAGCGTCGATCGAATTAGTCGACTTCGACGTTGACTGACGTCGATTATCGATTCGTCCTCTCTGCCCGGCAACACCGAAAAGGCGTCATTTTGTAATTATCAATACCATTACGTGTCTATTCGTGAATTGTATTTGATATTTTACCGGTTAAACATTTTCCATGAATTCTCCTTCGCTAAAGTTAGTTTCATCGACAGCTTTTGCATTTTCCGTGCGTCGATCGAATTAGTCAACTTCGACGTTGACAGACGTCGATTATCGATTCGTCCTCTTTGCCCGGCAACATCGAAAAGACGTCATTTTGTAATTATCAATACCATTACGTGTCTATTCGTGAATTGTATTTGATATTTTACTGGTTAAACATTTTCCATGAATTTTCCTTCTCCGCTGAGGTTAGTTTCAATCGACATCTTTCGCATTTTCCGTACGTCGAGAGACTTGGTACGTTTCACAGCGGGTTTCGCGGAAAGTAGGGTTCCAATACAAGGCCTCGCCACCGGAAGATTGTTAGTCCGCGAAAATATTCATAATTGTCCTGCGTATAATGCGTATCTCTTTCATAAAGAGTCTTAAGAATCCCGCGAGAAAGAATTTAACGAGCCGCATGGAATTTCTTCAGCTCGGTCGATCTTACTGTTGTATGAATGCGAAATGTTTTATCGTGGAAATAACGAAGCTTTATTTCAAGCCGGGTACGTTGAAAAAAATGGAGGGAAAATTTACGGTTTACCGTTTCCGAATAAAAGCGTCTTCGACAACGAGACGGATACAAAGTTCTTTCCCTTATCGAGGAAACGGGATTCTTTGTCTTTCGCCTAGTGTTCTGTTTACAGCTTTCTCCTTTTGGCGTTAATCGAAAAATTAAAAAATTGAAGATTTTTGTTGTCGAACTTCATCGCTGGTCGCACTATGGCAGCGTATCGATTCGCATGGAATTGAACTTTTTCCGTTGGAAATTAATTTGGAGACTTACCAATGTCCTATACGAAGAATTTTGTTCTTGTCTTTTTGTTTATTAATTATAATCTGTCGAGTGATACATTTTAAAACAATCAAATATATGCAATGTGACAATCGACGCTTAAAGACGTCATTGGTAATTTTTGAACAAAAACGTCTCGACGTGCCTGGTGCCTCTTTACAGCGCAAGAGGTTAAAGGAAAGAGCTTAGGTTCGCTAGAAATCAGTCGGATCGCGTCCCATAAAATTGTTCCGGCGAGATTCTCTTATTCCTTTGTTCTCGCGAAGGGCTATTCAGAAAACGACGCTGAATCGTTCTGCGTCGTGGTTGTGTACGTCGTATCGGACGATCGCAAAGCCCCAAGAAAGAAAGAAAAGAATGGAAGGAAAAGAGAATTTAGGCACACGGCTCGGATGTCTCGGCAAAGGGCTAAAGGGTGCTTCTGTAGGGTTGCCGACCCTTTATCCCCCTCCCTCTTTTCTTGCACACCGCCACGCTCATCCCACGACTTCCTTAGGTAAACCCCCACAAGTTTTCAACAACTACCATCGTGATATTTATGTAGGTGTCTACGCACGTGTTTAGTAACTTACCAGAGATGCAATTGAAATTTGATAGTTCAACCGCCCCTATCGGGTTTACCCCGATGATGGCCAGCTAGATAGACGTCTGCTAGGATACCCTCCTTTGTTGAACGCTTCTTCTTGTAATAAAAAAATAGAAGATCGTATTTTTTGTCTATGCTGAGTTGCACCTGGGCCACTGAGCTTGTAAGGTGTCTGATAGCTAATTTTGTGTATAAATGTTTTGAGAGGTGTATGTTTATAAATTTATGAGAATAACATTTGTTTCATTATGGAAAAGTACAGGTTGATTTTTCTCTTGACAGTCAGCGCAGGTGGTTTATATTTTGTTATCGAACCACAAGATGCAGTGGTCGAGCAGGGAGGTCCAGCTAGATTGGATTGTGAAGCGAAGAGTGGTTATGGAGAACCAACCATACAATGGCGAACAGACGATGGCCAGCCAATTAATTTTATTGGGGACAGTTTTCGGTAAGAGTACTTGGCATTCACATCATATTTTGTTCAGCTTATCACTGTTGCAACATCCTCCTTCCATGTACATGTTTTTGTTTTGAATTATAGATCTCAGCTAGCAAATGGGTCCTTGTATATAAATAGTGTTTATGGCAGTAATTCAGAATTGACTGGAAGCTATCAGTGTCTAGCTTCTGTAGATAATGTTGGGGCTATTGTCTCTCGGACAGCTACAATTAAACTTGCAAGTTAGTATCTAGGATTAGTGTATAGTATTCTGTATAATTACAATGTATTCTATGATTAAATACGTAGCTGATATATGAAAATCAGAAGTATATAAAAAGTTTCATTTTAAAGGTCTGCCAGGATTTGAAAAGGAACCTCAAGACACAATGGTTTATCCAGGGCAAATTGCATATTTAAGTTGCACACTTCCTACATCTTCTAGTTCATTGAGTATACAATGGTTAAAAGATGAACATCCACTTGTACTCGATGATAGCCGAATGACAGTGTTACCATCAGGTACATTTCTATGCTAACACTAGTGAAAATGTAATTGTTTCCAATTCAGAAATACAATTGTTTTTTTTCCATGTTGAATAGGTGCATTAGAAATTGATGATGTTAACATGCAAGATATTGGATCATACAGGTGTAATGCAAGTAGTTACGGACAATATAGACTGAGTAATAAAGCACAATTAGGATTATTGACAAGTGATATCGGTTAGTATAATTTTCGAATGTGAGATACAAATCGTTCGAGACTCACTGCTTCTTAGAAAAAGATAATATCAATCTTTTTACTTCCATATTATAGATCAAGAAAGTACACCGCCAGTCTTCATAGCTAAACCGATTAGACAAGTGGTCATTGAAGGATCAACAGTCACCTTAGAGTGTGCTGCCAATGGCTACCCAAAACCAACTATACTTTGGCTAAAAGATGGTGCAGCCATTGACTTAGCATCTTTGGATTCTAGGTGTGCATAATAAGTACAAAAAAGTTGTATGCAGCTGGTAATAAATGTTTCTGCTAATAGCTCAAATTTTATTGTTCAGATACCGTAAAGTTGCTGCATCCAGTCTTGTAATTAGTAATGCTCAAGAAAAAGATGACGGTTCGTACCAATGTCGCGCAGAAAATGCGGTCGATACTTTGGATGCAGTTGCTGACTTAATTGTCCAAGGTATATTTATTATCGATATTGCTTGTACAGATAATTTTCAGTTTGTTTTCTCTGAATTTAACCTGATGATATATTTCTTCTATTCATCAGTGCCACCTAGGTTTATAAAAAAACCAGAAGATAAAGTGGCTAGTGAGAGTCACGACTTAGAATTCGAATGTGAAATCTATGGAAAACCAGAGCCAAAAATTTCATGGCTTAAAAATGGAGAACGTATTACGTTTAATGCATATTGGCAAATCATTAATGGGTAAATCTTTAGTACGAATTAAAGACAAGAGCAAATATCTTGATTTATTTCATGAGATACGTATCTTTTATGTGTTTCCTTCTAGCAGCTACCTTCGAATTAACGGTCTACTGGCTATAGATGCTGGAATTTTTCAATGCATCGGAACAAATTCTGCGGGAAGCGTACAAGCTGCAGCGCGCCTAACAATTAGTCAACCTAGTGAGTACACATCTCACAGTGTATGAAACTTCGCTTGCGGACAATTTTAAAAATTATTTTCTGTACATATTTCTCGATCTATCTATTGTTTTATTCATTCATTCATTCATTCTTTTAACATACTCAGAGTAAGTCACGCGATATTCTGTACCTGAATATCCGCGGCGGATTTGACAAAGTAGAATAATGCATGAGAGATTAATCACAGCTACAATGCATGGGAGACTAGTTACGGCACTAGAAGTGCATATAAACGGTATTCGTCTTGAAGTGGAAAAAAAAGATTACGCGCAAGGTTCATCTTCAATGTCAAATTGTTTAAGATTATTCAGGTATCTCTTTCCCCGTGACTCACTCGAAATTATTCTGTACTTTTGTTTCCGTTTCAAGTTTTAATTTCATCTTTATTTCTTTTTTTTCCATTCGTGTGCCCTCCTCGTTAACTGTGTTGCATGCTAACCACTATACCCAGGGAAAGTAAACTCCCACAAAGCAACCACTCCGAAAACAATCCCCAAGAAGAAGTTACTGCTGCATCGTCAATTGTACAATAAAACGTGGCAACATCCGAGCACCCTTTTAGGGCACACGATGTCTGCGTTCACGCCCAATCCTTCGCTTTCCATTAGCCCCTCCGATGATCCAGCAGATCTTCCTGGGTCTGTTAAATTTCCTAACTCCCTTTACGACCCGCAACCCCATTTTGTAGACGACACAGACAGCCTGGAGTCGATAGAAGGAAGCGTTCCCTCAGCACCAAGAAATTTGAGTCTCGTCATTGTCACCACCAGATTTGTCACCTTGAGATGGCAGGAACCAGAAAACACGAACGGGGATAGCGTGCATTATAAGATTTATTACAAACAAGAAGGTGGTCAAAGGTGATGGCTCGTCCATTAACACGTACAAATGAGAAATTAAGCCCATTTGTTAGTTTACATTTCATACAATTTTGATAATATCTTGCAGAGAAAGGGTTATAAGTACGCATCAAAAATTAGAAGCCATGATACCGGGCTTACAACCAAGTATGACGTATCAATTTCGGGTGGTAGCCTTAAATGCGAGAGGTCCTGGAATGTCTAGCGAAGTATTACAAGTCACTACACACACAGAGGTTTGTTCAGAGTTTCAGAAAATATTGTCAAATGCTTCAGTGATTCGGGTAACTATTTTTCACGATTAATCTTTTGTAATAGGCTAATGTTCCTGGGCCTCCATTGAATTTAGAAGGTCAGGCTACAAGCAGCGTGAGCATTACATTGTCTTGGGAGAAACCGCAAGTTGTTAACGGCAGAATTTCTAAATACTTAATTACATTTGTTGAGGTATATAAGGGTTTTTTTTTTAATGAAAGCGATCACTGATCACGATGTGTTGCTTCAGAAATGAGCGTTCATTATTTAATGTTGAAGGGTGACAATGAGGAAATCGTTCGTGAAACCACTAGTACCATGCACGAATTGGTAGACCTCGTGCCTTATACAGAATACAGTATTAGAGTCCAAGCCGTGAACGAGAACGGCCCTGGCGCGTTTAGTAGAGATATCATAGTGAGGACTTATAGTGCACAGCCTACTCAACCACCACACAATGTTACAGTAGAACCAACTAGTTCTACAGTACGTATTGTACTTAGGATTCCCTGTAAAATTAAGGTGACATTGTACCGAGTCTTCATACATTTTCATATCTCCCGCAGAATATTATAATAAGATGGGAGCCTCCATTGGAGGGACAAAATGGAATTATCACTGGCTACAAGATCCGTTATCGTCGGCACGATCGAGGCGCACAGGCAGTGACAATAACTACTGAAGGAAATCAACGCTCAAGAGTGCTCACGGGACTTGAGAAACATGTAGTCTATCAAGTTCGTATATGTGCCTTAAATGTAAACGGTACTGGACCTTGGACGGAATGGATACAGATCAAGACATACGAAACTGAGTCAGATGAAAAGAGAGTGCCAAATACACCAAGCAATTTGAGAAGTTAGTTAACTTTTTCTTACATTGGAATAAATGGTAAATGTAAAGGATTTTGTACCAATTTTTAACTTTTTCTTGTATACTAATAGCGAAGGTGAAGTCGGATTCTATACAAGTGTTCTGGAACTCGCCAAAGGATCAGAGTATCAAGGTAAAGGGATACAAGCTTGGATGGGGTAAGGGAGTCCCTGATGTCGAAGTAAGGCTTCTTGATGGGAAGGAACGTTCTTTCACCATAGATCAATTAGGTGAGTTTTTTAATCGGAACTAAGGAAATATTAAATTCAACTTTTCTATATATTTTTATAGAACCAATGACAGAATATGTTATAAGCTTAAGAGCAACAAACGATGCTGGCGATGGTCAGCCAGCCTATGCAAACGTTAGAACAACCGAACGTTCTGTGGCTGAATCCTCTGCGCCTTGGATACCGCCAGTCGGTCTTAAAGCCGCTGTTTTATCAGATACTACTGTAGTATTGTATTGGACTGATACAACTTTACCAAAAACTCAAGTATGTTGAGAGAATTGTTTCCCAATTTTACTATAAAAGGATTGCTCATTAAGTCGATTTATTAATGTTACAGTTCGTAACGGATAATCGTTACTATGTAGTGCGTTATACGCATCACCATAGCAGTAGCCCCCGTTACAAATATCATAATGCTACTGATCTCAATTGCATGATACACGACTTGAAACCGAACACTGTGTATGAATTTACCGTCAAGCTGGTTAAGGTATTTGTAATGCATTTAAACCGATTTTTGTTTAAATTTTACAAGGTTTGAATATTATATATTTTTAATATTTCTCCAGGGAAAACGAGAATCGCCATGGAGTATGGTCGTTACGAATCAAACGCAAGAAGCTGCGCCAAGTTCTGCGCCAAGGGATTTGATAATACAAACTATCGAAGACCGTCCAACTTCTGTCTTGTTACGTTGGCAACCCCCTAAACAGCCTAATGGACCAATTACAGGTAATAATTTTTAGATTAATGAAAATATCACGATTAAAGATTAAGATTAATTTATTATCACGTTCAACGATTATATAAACTTTTACGTTTAGGATATATTATATTTTATTCTACCGATAACACAAAGTGGGATCGTGACTGGTTAATCGAAGCAGTTATCGGTGACAAGACTGAGTTTATTGTGAAAGGCCTTAAACCAAATACAACTTATTACTTTAAGATTCAAGCACGCAACTCGAAGGGATATGGACCGTTTTCCACTACTGTTTCATTCAAAACACCTCAGAGTGAGTACCTTCGTGTATAAAGTACACGTTATGCACGCATTCATCAATTTGTTGATCTCTACAGAGTTTGTTATGCATTGCATACAGTATTATTATCTACAGCAATTATCATTTTCGTTTGTTTCTTCATATTGTATGTACAGTACATTGGTGTGTTAATTATTCTGTTCAATTTTTTATTTCTATGCTAGGCAATGGCATGGATGTCTATGGTGAATTGCATGGTCGAGGTAAGATATTCTCTTCTAGGTTATTGTTTATTAGAACCGCACGTAATTTAAATAGTAGTGAATGTGGAAGTAATGCAAACGTTGAAATTTAGATAAATATTACATATCTGTAGCACATATAAATTATTCTGTTATTACATTCCGCTTTATAAAGATGCCGCTGCTAGCATTAAGGAATTTATTTAATTTACAGATGGTCGGGGACTGTCGAATATATTGATCTATATCATTGTCGGCTGTTCTATCGTCCTTATTCCTGGTGTGGCAGTTGTAGTGGTAGTAATGTGTTGTAAACGCAATCCGGATACGCCTGACCGGAAGAAGGGGTACGTATTGTTATATGTATTCTATTGTTAAATCATTCCATGAGAATAAATCCATTCCATGAGATGTTCTTATTAAAAAAAATCCAATTTAAATTGTGTAGATATATGAAAGATACAAATCAAAAGACCAATATCAAACCACCAGACTTGTGGATTCACCATGATCAGATGGAACTAAAAGCTCTTGAGAAATCATCGATAAATGGAGAAGCATCTACCAGTGGCGTAGCTAGTAATACGTTACCCAGGCCGAGTAATCAGGAGTATAATCAGGAGAATGTACACGGGAATTCTAGTTCATTGGACAAACGTACTTACGTGCCAAGTTACATGAGTAAGTTCGAACGAAAATAAATTACATGTCAAAGTATTTTATCATATCAAACACACCTGCACAAAAACTGTTTTTGCGTAATCCAATTCAGGCGATCGTTTTCTTTTTATAACCACGTACAAAAAAGAACGACTACAATTTACTTCTAACATCCAGTACACGGTTTTTGATAATTTTCTACTGTTTATTGATGACCTTGGTTACTTCGTTCTCATCTTGAAAGAACATTATATTTTGTTCGCTGTTTTCCTGATTTCTGTTCGGTTTTTGTTCATTCACTCGATATTAGGTAACACTGACGAGAAGTGCTCGACCCTGAGTAGGCAGCATAGTCGAGGAAGCCACAAACCTAAACTCATTACACTGCCTGTTGACAGTGCGTCCTTACACCAACGTAAGTTAATGTTAAATAATGTGACACAAAATTACAGTGAATGTTAAACGCATCCTTAACCGCAATCCTGCACCTATAGTAGTGAAATCGTAAAACTATGTAATATATATATATATACACATTAAGACCGATCCAGTTAATGTTTTTAAGCTATGTAATAAAGATATCGACCTGTTACAGCTATAGCGACTGCTACGCCAATCGTGAATACGAGTATGTCGCAGCCAACGATTCATACTTCCTGTAGCGATACACCATCCGTTAGGCAGAACTACCCCCGAACGGTGGCGCAGTACAGCTTAAGTCGAGCGCATATTACATTAGAACCGACTCCAGAATCGAGTCCGGATTCTTGCAATATTTCAAGCTCATACGAGCCGTTGCAAAGCCAGGTGTGTCTCTCACACGATGACAGACATTAAACTTTAAATGAAAAATTCAGTTGTGTATAAATAATATTGATTCACAGCCACCATCGTATGGAACAAGCGTACAGTCATACAGTGGAAGCACACAGTACGCTTCCGGGCATTATGGTAACAGCAGTCAACCGTCGAGTAGCAGTGCAGGAACCGACGGTAGTGGCAGCAGTAAAAGGATGCAAGGGCATCCTTTAAAGAGCTTTAGTGTCCCGGCGCCTCCGCCTCAATCTGCACCTTCCACGCCAGCGCAACAGAAACATGGTGGTTAGCTTCATTCATTTATAAACGCTTGCATTTTATGATTTATTGTTATTCTTATATCTCCCTGTTGTCAATGTTTGATACAGTTTCTCAAGTAACTGTAAGACCCACGATGTCTGGCAGTCCCTACAAGAAACCACAAAGTACTACACAGTTGGCGAAGAATCGGTTAGCCTCAGTGTCAAATCCAGTACACACTTCGGAAGAAGTGGAGCGGTTAAAGGTAACGAATCTTTTCATTGAAATCTATGCTTGACAATATAAAACGGGGAGAATAGTATTTTTTGTCCCTTGTTATGAAAAACGTCGATAAACGGCTTCATGTAGTTGATTAGTTATCGTTGTTTTAGCTGTCTTTATCTTTATCAGTCCATTCTAGCAGATAAGAATGGCCTGTTAACTTTTCCACTTTTTGTAGCCTTCGTACAGTACAGAGGAACTTAATCAGGAAATGGCGAACTTAGAGGGTCTTATGAAAGATCTGAATGCCATAACAGCGTCCGAGTTTGAGTGCTAGAAGAGGTTCCTAGACCTTGTGCCATCTCAATTCAATAGACTGTAAATCATACATTCTCAATGTTAGTACCTGAGAGATATAGGTGTGTGACGAATCACGTTACACGATAAAAAAGAAAAAAACAAAAAGAAACTTTTCGCGGGGATCATGTTTCGGCACACGGAAATGCAACGTAATTGGCAATGGATACGATACGATCAGGGGGCCGATGAACGGCGTCAGTATCGAACGGTTTTCAAACGGTTCGCCTGAAAATTGTCGTCAACCCAGTGTGATTGGACTGGAACAAGAGTGTTTCCTAGTCAATTTGCTTTCTCTTCCGGTACTAACGTTGTTTTTCTACGGCGAAACGCAGAATATACTTGCCAATGTAACTTGACACTGCCACATTCTTGTAGCGGACTTGTAATTTACAAGACTGTGAGTGAGTACGGTTTTGAAGTGAATCAACGCAAGAATAGGACGTTTTATTACGAACGTTTGATGGTGTATGTTCTTTTTTGTGCGCGAGTGCATGACACTTGAGGTGAGAAGACGTTGATAAGTTTGTACCTTATCTGGGATTACTGACAGTACGCGGGATAGATCTACGGTCTACCAGTGTATTTTTATTTACGTTTCTAATATTAAGAATTTGGTATTCTTAACATTGAATTTTATAGAAAGAATTCAAGCTTGACTTATTGGGAAAGAACGGAAACGGTGTACAACACATTTGAGGAGTGACAGAGATCTATCTTGCGTATCGTCTGTGCTGAAATCCTTTCTTGCGATTAGAGTACGTTACATTAATGACTTGATGGATTTCTAACGAAGGGAAACGGTTTTAACGTTTCCCGATTCTTACACGGTGTAAAAGTGATCGATAATTGTACCGGATTGTCTTTTACATGCTTCAGTGAAACGGACGATCTTGCCTAAGTGAAAAGAAGAAAACGAATTCGTACTATATATCCGGGAAAGCTCACGTGCTCTTTGCCATGGTTTTGTAATTTATACTCATAAGAGTACATTTTCTATATCGATAGTATCGACTGCCATACTTACGCTTAGGGTGGCGGGAACATGTGAGCCTCTTCAGCGAACAATTCATGGTTCAGTGTGCGAGACGAAAACTAGAAATATTATTTCTATTTATTTTTTTATTCGTCGGGATCATTTTAACGGCAATTCTGGTGTAATACGGTTTTCCACGTTACAGTACTTTCAGGCTAGTTTAATTTAGTATTGATCGAAGGGAAAACGAATTGTTAACACGTTGACTGGTTTCTTTCGCCAATATACGCGTACTATGTTAATTTCTGATATTGTCTGAAGTATTGATCCTCAGGGTATTATGTAATGCAGATTCGATTAAGGTTCACTATTTATTTTTCATTCAAGACAGAGGTATGGCTTTTTCAGAATTCTTTTCTGAATATAAATCCGAATAGTTAACGTGTTTATTGAGTACTATCGGTGACGACCAGCCATTTGAAAATTTCTTTGGAAAAAAAAGAAAAAAAATAACAGTTGCCTGCGTATTTCATTTAACAGGCCAGAGTATTTTCCACGCTGAACCTTCTGTAACGGCCTTAAAACAAAACGTTCGCATTCAGTTGCCCTGTATTCTGTGACTGCGGCAGCTCGCTAAAGGAATTTCGTGCTCGCGGTTCCGACTGAGACACTGTAGTATTACGATCTCATCGAGAAACTTTATTTTAGAATTAACGAGAAAAGAAGAAACTGACAGCGAACATCGAGTAATGGGTATTAACGGTAGGCTTACAGCATTCTCATGACAAAAGATCGTCGTGGACGAACGCGACAGTGAAAAAAAAAGAAAAGAAAAGAAAAGAATCTGTTTCTTCGTGTCAATGTGTTTTACCGTTTTCGGTGGTTAATTTCTCTTAAAGTAACCGATTACGTTTCAAACGTCCAGAGTTAAGAGTACGGTCTAATTGAATAGTATAAATTAAATTCGGCAGTCGTGTTTGCTAACTATTTTTTAAACAGATGTTTACAGAAAAGAAATGAGAAAAAAAAGAATCGTTGTTTATAAGAGGTCTTGTACGCGTGCGTATTTGTAATGCGTTGTTTTATTTTCGTGAAGCGATAACTGTCAGCGAGAGATGTAAGTATGATTGTACCGTCCGCGATTTCATTTGCAACACTTAAATCGCTAAACGGTCCGCAAAGTTTTCTACCGTCGTTCGATCGTGCCGGTCGACACACGCGTATTTACAATGACGAATATTTACCGACAGTTTTTTACCATATCCGTCGAGATATATACATATAGCGATAATACTTCCTTCCATTTACTAGGAATTTGCTACGTATATAACTTTTGTACACGTTTTACTGCGATCGGGCGGTTCTTTAGTATTAAAACGGGAAAACGGAGACGGACAGCAGCGATAAGGCAGGATCATGCGACGATCCCGTGGGAATTGTGACGCGATCGAATATCGGCGTACGCCGTATCTGTAGTATTCCATACTGTACCATCTTTTTAAGCACCTTCGTATTTTTCCTAACATTTGAGTAATCGCAGGGGGCCCTAACGCCCCCCTGGTTTGTACAAAAAGAAAGAAAGCTCTCCTGTTAGGCGACAGGCGAGGAAGCATCAACGAGGGTTTTCCGTTGCGGCAGAAATTTAATATGGATACACAGTACAAAGCAATATGTGATACTCCTGCTTTAAGAATCGTCGGGTCGCGATTGACCAGAGTATTGCATATTACTCGAATATTTGCTGCCGTACGGCAAAACGCCACCCGGTTCACGGCGAACACGTTCTTTTCCCGTCGGCTTAGCTCGGTTAGGGTAACGCTCGTATATTTAACACGTAGTCGTACATACAAATTTCATTCATTCCCTCGATTACATTTGTCATTGTGTTTCTTTCTATTTTCGAACGGACGAATTCACGAACGATTGTACAGAGGCGATTCTAACGAGGACACCCCACGAACATCGGGCATCTTGGTTGGTTGAAGTTCTTTTTTTCCCTATCGTTAGGACAATTTGATACATTCTCTGTAGGGGATTCGTTAACCCTCTGTAGGCTCGTTTTACTTTGAAGTCACATACCAATGTATTGGCATTCTGTTGATTTATTTCATTTTGCATAGCAAAGTGAAGTAAAATGAAGTAATTAATTCAACTTTTGTACAGGCGTGAAAGTTCAACGTTATTGTAATTTCTAAATTACAATGTATATTCGTTTGGATACAATTATTAAAACTATTGAATGTTCGTTTGTATTTACAGGTTGATATTTCTTAATTTTATATTATACGCATTTGTTTTATACCTACGAAAAAGAATTTGGCCTTGCAGAGGGTTAACCAGAGAAATGCTTTATTTACCGGAGTCTGTGTTGCAGTATGTTTTGCAGATTTATATGTACGTTGTGTCAGCGGTTAGATAAATTATTGTATATCGGTACACGTAGAGGGGTGTATTCAAAATTAAGTGAAGTAACTTGTAGGATAGCGCGTCGTATGCGTTTAATATATTATAGTGTATGAAATTTGTAATGAAAGTCTTGTACAGGATCGATGGCCGATGTTGGTAAGGTTTCTTTGCGAGTACTCTTGAATATTTTTTTATTCTTTTCGAGATCCGAAGTATTTTGTAAAGATTTTACGATTTCGCAGTAGATACGGAAACATAGGGACGTTTCGAGCTATACCGATTAACGAAAAAAAAATAATAATAATAAAACAGCTTGTACATTAAGCATACATACATATATAAATATATATATGTAATATATACATAAAGTTTGTAATTATAGAGTCGTTCGAGGAACGGCCAGCTCTTTGTAAGTAAAGGAAATGGGCCTACGATGCGGCCTGCGAAAAATATTTTACCACAAAAGTATGGTAGGATAGTTATATCCTTATCTATATGATTATTATTTATTGATTTTTATGTATGCTGGGAATATTGAGGATAAAATGAATGTTGCGAGATGCTAGAGGCTGGTTGCTTTTAATCATTTCCATTTACGACATGTATTGTAGTCATTAGTCGCTATCATTGTTATCATCGTCATTCTCATACCATTTTCCTCATTGTCATACAATTCATTCTCATTGATCAACGATTAAATGGATTTGCTACGGTTAAATATCGAAATCCGACGATAATCAAGACTAAAGTGAAAAGAATACAGGCCACTGATGTATATAAATGAAACACCGCCACTTTATAGAATAATTAAGTATTTATATACATTATATATATACATACATACACAGCCATTATAAAATATAATTATTATATTTGTACGATACGTATAAGGCAGCCATCTCCAATGAAACATTCATAACAAGTGTGTGATAATATTTGTAAACCTTGATATCCAATAAACAATCTTATGTTCTTTACAAATTATAGATTGAATTGCTGTTGTTTTAATAGCGATTCACTGCCGGAGAAACTGCAACATCGTTTGAATTTCGCGTTTCTCCGGTTCCATAGTTCTGGTTTTCAACGGAGATCAAAGATGGCACCACTCTTCAGCTTTTTGACATCTAATTAGGTATTCTATGATAAAATAGTTGGTAACACGCTTTGCAGTGAAGTTGAAATGTCCGATGAAAAATGCAGTATTTGCAAAATATTTGTTTAATTGAAAATTAAGACTATTAGTTACTTTCTTGTGATACTCGGCTGTACAAGTGCAAAGCTTCTTCTTCATATTTGGAATTCCAAGTTCGTGAATCGCGAATTTAGTTCCTGGACTAGTAAAGTATAAAATTTTGTTAATAATATTGACGACTTTGGGTCACATTTATTGGGTTACAGAGAAATATTAGATTATTGTTATCTTCAACAATTAATTTGTTATCTTCTCATTTATTCAGTCGTCAATACATTTTAAACTTAAACACCGTGACTTTTTCATTCCCTCAAAGATACAGGTTCATCAAGAACAATGGCGGACATCTCAGGGATCAAAACAAGTCTGATGCTGTCAAATGATAAATTTATTTCCAAAAACCGATACCCACGTCTGTAAGAAATGTTTCATTCATTAAACTCGCTATTCACCGATCTTCCATCATTAACACTAGATTTACGGAACGAGTCAGTTTGACTCATTGAATTTTATAAGCATTATTCCGTAAATGTTCCGGTCGATTTTTATTAACGCAGTTCTGCAAATATGTATCCTAATAATCTACTCTTAAACCTCTAACTTCTAACTGAACGGATGACAATTTTTTTAACAATAGAAGAAACTCTAAATGTCAGTAAATCCACTGTTAAAAACGAAAAACCGTCGCAAAATGTTTCAGATTCGCGCCAAGAACGAAATTCAAACGACCGTCACGCGCAATGGCGCCATCTTCGAGCGACCTGCGGCGCCCCCTGTCCGAAGGGTTTTTTAATACGAACACGCGTGGACAGATAGCGTCACCGATTAGCTGTGCACGTTTAAAAAAACAGCAAAGGACAACAATAACGCGATCCCTCGAGAGTGCGGTGAAAAATCGGTGAAATGGTGGAGTTGTGTCGCGGGTATATTTAGAAGCAGGTGAGCAGATCATTTCGTTAATTAAAACGGACGGTCCTGCACGCTGTCTCCCGTGTGCGCCGATCGATGGAATATGCGTGTGCAGTGCGTTCAACGTAGAACGATTTTCCAATTTTCCTTTTTGTTTTTCTTTGTCCGCGACGGTCCACGGCACCACCGTGTTCAATTCGGTGGCGAGAAAGAGAGAGAGGGAGTCAGCGAGAGACAGAGAAAGATAGAAAGACAGTGAAGAGCGACGGGCCTAGAACCACTAGGTGTCTCGCCGTTGGATTCAGGGGGACAGCGGGTTTTCAAGAATGAAAATTCTTTCACGATCGTTCTCGTTCCGTCGCTCGACGGGCATCGCATGCTCCGTTCACGAAACGGTTCGTGTCCGTCGCCCGTTACCATGCACCTTCGTGGATCATAACCTCTTCGCACGCCACGCACAACACCGTGAACCGTTTCACGAATGCGAGGCACACATGCTTGCCGTCACACCGCACGTCTGTACGTAGGTACCAAAGGCATTCTGTCGTGCCTGTTTCTTTTACTCTCGACCATCGAACGGCACCGTGGTCCGACTTAAAACACGTTGGAAAAGAATTTAGGATTCAGACCAAGAATAAATACTGTGCGGGAATTAAGCGTAGAGGCAGCCCTGTCAACTGTTTGTTTTCCGTTTCAGTCGAGGGAATTGCTTTAGTCAAGAAATCGTGCGCCGTATTTCCAGTCTTGATCACCGGTAGGAAGTGGACTTAATGTTGACATTGGATCCGAACGGTGAAGCTTGAGATGATATTCAATGCAATACGGATAGCCTAACGAGGATCGATAAACGAGAGCAGATGTTAACACTAGAACTACCAGATGGGTCAGAATGACATTTCTGATTTCTTTTATGGTTACTCAGAAGATAGAGATACTTCTACGGGAAATTATTAATGAAATTAATTCGGTAATAGTAAAACTGAGATGAGACTCAATTGAAATCTCAATAAATGTGCGTTTATGGTTTTTGTAAATAAATTTGTACAAGTCAGTTTAAGCGATCGGTGGTTCTAGTGTTAAGATTAGCTTGAACTCTCGCGTTCACGGTTCCCGTTTGTTTTCGCGGGCAGTTGGAGAGGACGGAAATAATTTGATTCGGATAAATGCCTGACGGGAAGCGGCTGAACGGGCGTAAGGGAATGAAGCGTTACATTGTTTCACGGTTAAAGTCCTCGCGAGTGATCCTCGTTTCTTATCCCTCGTTCGAATACAATTCCTCCGGCACCGTGAACACGTGACCCCTGACCGTCGTTCCGCAGTGGGAAACAGAATCCCCGTGTCTATTTTCGCGAAGTTGGCCATAGTTTCTAACCAAACGAAAACGCCCGGAATAACATATAGAAAACATGCAAGTTTTTATATATATATTCTGAATCGATACGAGGATTCTAATTATAATATAGGACCGCGTTCCACCTTGAATGACGGAAGGAAAAAAGACGGTGCATATATTATTATCGTCACCGTTCGTCATTCCAACGATGTTTAAATCACTTGTGATCCTAATGATTCCGCGATTCGATGAACCCGTGAACCAGGTTCAACTGATTTAACTAAATCGAATTCAGGGGTTAATCGGATTTATAGAGATTTGGAATTATATAGATTTAGAATTATATAGATTTAGGTTTATAGAGATTGAGAATTATATGGATTCAGATTTTTCGAGATTTAGGATTATATTTGTTCGCTAGAAACGTGACGAAATCCGTCGAGAGGCGATCAAATTGTTTATCCGCCACCAAGCCGATAGAAAAACGGGAGAAGAAAGCCGCGTGATTCGATCGTGGGATTCGAAATGATTTTTCCTTCGTTCCAGAGCCGGCCCATCCCCACCAGCAGGCCAGCCGAAATTCCACGGTGGCTTAATACCCCGTTTCATCCCCCTCCTCCGGCGTGATCCGGCCTCTATTGATTGCTCTACCGCACTACTGCCCTACTTTTATGACTTTACTCCAGCCCCTCGTCCCTCGCCACCCTCTATACGTTCCCTCCGTCGCTCGATCCCTCGCCACCACCTTCTCTCTCCCCCGTTGTGTCGCGGGAGAGTCATAGACTCGAGGCCGGAACCGTGGAACCTCTGTTCTGTTTATCGAGAGAGAGAGAGAGGGAGAAAGCCGCCGGGCTCCTCGGCTGCACCCACTATGCGGAAGCGACGCCGATTTTAGCTGTTCCCGGAATTTCTGAAACGTGCGTGCTCGCCCGCGGATCGGGACGTGTTCGTCTCGCAGCGTGCCTTTCGATCGGTCGTCGCTTGAACGGAGAACCTCGATTTATCTTTCTCTTCTTCGTAGATGCTGGAATTAGGTTTAAATTATAAGACAGTGAGAAGTAGGGACTGTTCGTTAGAGGAATCGACGGTGTTCCACGGTTGTAGATCGGCGAGAATGCGATGTTCCCGTGAGAAGCGAGGGTCGAGCTAGATAAAAGTGGACCTAGCAGCCTGACCGGTAACAGGAGATCACTGCTAAAGATGAATCAAAGCTTCATAACACTAGGCTGAGAGGGTGTACGTTATAGGGGATCGGATTCTCCAGTTCCATATCGGATATCCGAGTACCCGAAGCGTCGGTATCTTATTTTTCTTGATCCAGCGTCGATGCGACAACTGAGAAGGTTGTTCTTTCCTTCATCGTGGTAAATCTTCTTTCAGCGAGAACCCACCTCCAGTTACTTTTCTCCCATGCTTTCAAAGCTCAAGGATTATCTCTCTGTTTGCATTATTATCACTAGAACTACCGAGCAGTCAAATTGAAGTTTTCAAACTTTTCTATAGGACTTCTAAGACTACAGCTGTTGAGATTTCAATTGACTTACGATTCGATTTATGTGTTACTAAGTAACACTAAGTGCTATTTTTTCAATAATTGTAAAACAATAACTCAAGAATGGGCCATTTTGACCGATTCGGTAGTTTTAGCGTTAGAGACGACAAGGTAACGATACGTCGGCACACCGAGAATATTTAACACATTCGCAGACAGTAACAATTTTAATGAATGTAGAAATCGACAGGTATCTTCTTATTACCCAGAAGATTAAAAGTGCATAATAATTTCAACAAATTAAAAATACACGTGGCTTGTTTGAATGTTCCATCACTTATGTCATTTCCCATCACAATGAAAATCAAAGCTATAACATTCACGTTCACGTACGCGTTAAGAGACTTCCATCCTCATGTGTCCAATCTCACTCCACGCTTTCTTTCAGAACCGCCCGCCCAACGTTCAGAGTGCCGGAACACAAATATCCGCCTGTCCATGTCCAGAAACCTCCCGGTTCCCAGTCGAACGGGGGAAACTGGTGTTCACCGTGCGCGGGGTTCCACGCGGATCGCATGCGAAACGGTGAACACGACGACGCGTGTTGCGAGCCTCGGGACGAAGTTTCTATGCAATCCGAAAGCCACAAATCGCGCGGCCGATCGTAAATTTCGAGAGCCTTACCAGCCTTACGCCCTCTCGCCGCCCCCGGTCCCCCGTCCATAAATCGGCCTGTAATATTATGCGGTGCCCGGTATGCGGCTCGGAGTGTGCACGTGCGTGTGGCCCGCCGTGTGCACTCGCTTACGTGTCACATGTGTATGCACTGTTGCGTGCACAGGATCAAGGCTGCACGTGGTGCAAGGTTTATTTTCGAAGAGGCCCTGTGCAACACACCGCCGTGTCGGGGGGTGCAAGGCTTTTTTCTTTCCTCCTCTTTCTCTTTCTACCGGTGTACCCTTTCTCCGGCTCTCTTTCTCTCCCGCTCTCACTTCGCGCCGTCTCGCGTGCAGCCTCGGGGGATATTTATACCGGTTCACCCGTTTTCCCGCCGTGTCGAACCGTTAACGCGTCTCCGCGCGGCTCATCCCGGCGTCGCGCGGTCCGTTTTTAGGTCGAGTGACTGCTAATTAGTCGGCTTATCCAGTCGCGGGCCGCGCGGACACTCGACGTTTGCTAAAGCGATTTCTCCTGCGATTGTCCTCTTCGTCTTCTTCTTCTTCTTCTTCTTCTTCTTCTTCTTCTTCAGCTTCTCCGGTTGCGATTCCTTCCTTTAGTTCATCGATCTTGTGAACTCTGGGGATTGGTTTCTGGTTTTTATCGCTCGGCGATCTTTACTATTAGTCGTGAACTCGATTTACATTAACAATATTTCTACCGATGGTGTCAAAAGACAGCTTTTGAAATTTTGAAATTACTTTCTCAGATTCATCATTTTTCTTTAATCGAATTTTGAATATTTCCTATAGTTAATTTTATAATCGTTATTATAGAATAAAAATCGTTATTACAGAATATACGATTGAACTTAGAAAATAGTTTTAAGTTAAAGATTTAGGTGTTGGACACCTTCGGTAGAAATAGTGTTAACTATAAAAATGAAAAGATTCTTCCACCCTTAGTGTATAGGGCACAATTCTGTCTCTAATTCTTCCCCAAGAAAGACACTGATTTCTTAGTTCAAGGTTCAAGGTGTCCCTAGGCATCCTAATAATCGTTTGGTATATCGTTAGCGTATTAACTATAATGTAACGGTATTTTTTCCAGCACTTCGTGCCCCCCGAAGAACGTGGAAATACTGCGGTTCGTTTCCAGCGTCGTTAAATGTTCATTAGCGGACTTTTCCCGACCTCTCCATGGATAATCGTGACTTCGCAGTGAGTTAGGTCGACACGGTGTCGGCGCGCGTCATTTGTAGTATTTAAGGCTGCGTAATAGTCGGTCACGCGGTGACCCTGTTTAAGTAGCGACGCCCTGGGATTAGTCAGACGGTCACCGTACACGGAAATACTACTTGCAACTGGAATGTAATATCTTCATTGATTTAATCGAGACCCCAATCGTCCGTTCGAATTCCTATCGTGAACGTCCCGTCGAACGTCGAGCGTTCGACCTTATAACGGCGTGTTTTCCTAAACGGAACGATGAAATCTGAGAATCCGCGATCCGAAGGTCTGCTCGTTGTTTCGGGGACTCCATTGATGTTTCCGTCGTTGTAGGCTTTCCTTCACCTTTCGGTGGTACGCCTAGGCTGACACGATTAAGTCTTTCGGTGCTTCCTCAAGATTCCTCCAAGCTTCTCGTATTTGGCGCAAGACAGTCGCCGCGTGAATGATTATTGCCGGAACTTCAGTGCATCGGTTACCTATGGTTGATAAGAATTAATCCACCTAAGCTCGTTGAACAAAATCCAGAGGGTCCAGAAAGAAACCAAAGTTGATTAGGTCCTGTATTTTATTGAGTGAAACGATGGCGAGTCTGAGTTGGAACAACGTGGTAGAGGTTTTAATTATCTAGCTTCTTGTGTTACGTAACATTTTGATTGAATATTCATCTTCTTATAATTGTTTTCAAGCAGTTCGGAAGCTCCGGTCACCGCTGTGGCAGTCAACGTGTTAAGACAATTCTGTTCTCCTCGGGATTCAGGGAAACTCGGGAAAGGGAGAATTGCATAATAGAGAGGGAGAAACAATTTGGGCCTTAATGGTTCACGTTGGGGGTTGGAGTGACTAAAATCTAGGCGCCGGGCTGCCAGTCGGTCGATAGCTATGTTTACACTTCGTCAGATGTACAAGATATTCACGGAGTGGTTAGGTTTACAAGTAGACGCAGTCGTAATGCTAACGGAGCATTTCGGTCTGCATAATTGTTGTTTTTAGATAGGGCTGATGATTTACACGTTTTCAGATGGACGCAGGCGTGGTGTGTCACGATGGAAACGTTGAGAATTGAATTAACGAAAGTCACAGTAATAGGAACAATCGTGATAATAATAACAACAATGGTAATAACAGTTATTATGAATATACAGAGTGCTTAGCGGGGTAGGATGTAACAGTCGTATACGTCGGAATTGTCAGCGAGGTGGAAACGCGGTAAACTGGCTCGAATCACCGCGTAACGTGCTCCGTAATCCGTTAACGCGATACAGTTTGATGATCGATCCCCGTTTCCCGGGATCATCGAAACTGGCCGGATCGCGTGCAACAACCGCGATCAAGGATTAAATGTCGATGGAAAGCAGCCTCGTGGCGGGCGGCTCTGCCACGGCCAGGTAGTACTCGCGTCGCGTTGCACTGTCTTTATCCAGCAAGGTCATCGCCGAAGCGAACAAATGAGATGACTCACGCGGGATTCGACGAATGCCTCCGCCATTGAGCGAATCGTGGCCGCATCGATCCACGCCGCGAGACGAATTACGGGAAATCGTCGCAGGTATAGTGTCCGCGGCGACCGTTCGCAAACAGGCTGCCTACCGTCGCGTTCAAAGTTGGCCGGTCGCTTTTGAAATTTCAGGGATAAACGCTGGGACACGTGGCTCTTAGGTCTACTAACGCTAGAACTACTTTGGGGATAGAAACAACTGGAACAACTGGTATTAACTCGTTGTACTTGAAAGTTCTTCACTCGAAATATTTTATACCCAATTGGATAAGATTCTTTGAAATGGATTTATCAAGAAATCACACATATATTAGGAAACAAAGCTATTTTCTTTCGATATTTCACGCATTGATACAGTATAGAAAGATTAATGGTAAATACTAAAGTTTATAATTTTCCTGTTTCAAATCATCTGTTACTCTCTTGAGTGTAAAAGGTTGAACCGTTGTACTCGACAGTTTTTCACTAGAAACATTCAGCGTCTTACGATGAGGTGTAAACTATGTTTTTTGAAACGTAACGATGGCATAGATTAAGGAACAGAATGAATTTATTTGAATATTTCGCATAGTGCACTGTGAGTTCAATGTTAACTCATGCTCGACGGTTTTTCACTGGAAACATTGTGTGCATATCGGTGCACTAATGCAAAACTTGACGTTAAACCTATGTAGAACTTTGTAATTTTCTCAAATCAAGCGGTCACTGAGAATCACCTCTCGACTGTAAAGGGTTCAGTATTAACCCTTAATGGAACACTGTCGCCATATTAACGGCGTGGTAGTATTACTCGTTGATTTTGTTATTTTTATCACTGTTACTGTTGTAATATTTACAATTAACACGCTAAGTTTGTGCTATCTTACTTCTGTGAATTCTTTCCTCTTGTTGTTTATGTTACGGTATTTTGTCGCAGTAAGTCAACTTGAAGTACTTCCTGTCCTAAGGATTAAACTTCAGAATTTCGCTGCATCGAATCAAACGACGGAATCATCTCTCGAGCGCTAAGGGTTAAGTAAAAGTAAAAGTAATCTACCAACGTATACTTTTCTTTTGCCAGTAGAAACAGAAGACATCGGTCAGACGTGTTGAATTTTTTCAAATTAACCCTTTGCGGGCGAAGATTTTTTGAAACATACAAAAGCTTCAGCAGATGAAGTTAAATTATATATCAATTGCTTAAATAATAGAAAAAAAACAGAAACTATAATCTGATCTCTTACTGTTTAACTAATTAAATCCTTCGTTTTCCTTAGTCTTCGAAACATGAACATCTCATCTAAATGACGACATTCGTCCGCAAAGGGTTAACGCGAACGACCAGCACATTCAAGTTTTTAGTACAACCACCCCAATATATTCTTCACTAAAGACGCGAATTAATCCCTGAAAAATCCTGCGAAACTCGCTGAATTCCGCGATCGATCTCACCGGAGACAAAT